TGGCTTAAAGTGACTTGTCTTTAGTACCATCATCTCTCAATTTAGGTTCTAACGTTTTAATAGCAACAACGAGTGGTTGGTTGTGATTTGTTTTATCTACTAGTTTTTTCATAGAAAGTGTTTGGGTACACATTATAAAAGGCACAAGAGGGGGAAAAAGAGATTGGACAAGGACAACAATCAATCGTGTTAAAGAAGAGAATTACTGAACCTGATTTGCAATAGATAGCAAATTCAATTAGTAGTTCCATCCTTCCTATAAAAAATAATGTCTTGACATATTATACGCATATCATGCACCCAATGTGTTTGTATGAAGCTTGCTACTTTTGACAGTAGCAAATGTTTCTCATCCAAAATATCAGTGAAGACCTAACAGTTGGGCGGGCTCTGTTTTTGGTTGTGGACTGCTCTCTCTGAATGGGTGCCTTTCTAAAGCTCTGATTGGGGTATATCAAAGATTTCTTCATTCCTTTGAACCTTGGTCTTGGGCCTATCAGGTTAAATGGGCACACACAAACCAATGGTTTGTTTGCACTTTGAAGTCTAAACAAGGAAATAGCGTTTAGAAAGGAAAGAAGAGATTCGGTCCAGATTCTTTGTTAATTCTGTGGCTTTTGCTCATCAACCCTCTCTTTCTCAGTTTCTCTCTCGCCAATCGCCATGGCTGAAGCCACTCAAACCCTGATCTTCATCTAGGGAACTACAAGGCCATGGAAATCGCTATCTAAAGAAAGACCTTATCCGCCAAAAAGACGCCGTTTTGGTACCCATGTGACTTACCAACCCCACCCACTTGTTATAGGCCTACACGGCATCCCCTACGTCATCAGCCTTCTTGGATATGTCCATGGAGTCAAGGGCGAGTTATACTCTGTGTCGACTCGGGGACTAGCCGTCTGGATGAACTGGAGAGTACCGGCATAGGACATTACGAAGGTCACCTATTTCAGTTTATGAAGAACAGAAAGGTGGCGTCTTCATTTGTTGCACTTCATGAATATTTGTCATTTTTTTGTCGGAAAATAAATCAAAAATTGTATTTTTTACGATCGATTTTATCTGAAATACGTTCTAATCTATGATGAAGATTAATTTAATTGTTACAGTCGGATGGTTATTTTTCCAGGATCTTGATTGGTGTTTCGATCATTTACTAATAAAAAAAGCAAAACCAAGGCTGATGCAGACTAAAAAATATATCAAACATGAACCAATCTTCAAAAGTCGATCAGTCCTGACAGAACCTAATGTGGCCTTCCATGCCTAACCACCACTAGACAGGGTCATCTAGGTTATTTTATAACGAAGGGATTCATTCACAATAAAAAAAGCAAGCATCAATTCGTTAATAATGCTTTTTATTTTATAAATTAAATGAAAATGGGTTTATGGATATATATATTTTACTCATTTGTGTTCTAATAATCTCTCATGGTAACTCAAAAGGCAAGAGATCCCCATCGTGCTCCAAGAATTATTGAAAATGAAAACTCGACCATAGGTATCACATTGATTGAAGTAATAAAGGGCTTAAAAGATATCTTTTACAAAATGTAAAACAAGATGCGGGAGAGATGAAGACAAAAAGATTAAAATAAAAAATTTGAGAAGAAGAGAGGTGAGAAGACGCAGACCTGGTTTTTCTAGTAGTGGTAGGATCTCACCGACCACTTTTTTTTTGTAATCTATTAACTTTTTTGTGTTTCGATTTCCATTACCTGAACATAGATAAAAACGAATTTCAAATGGTCCAATTGTATCCAACTATTGGTTTTCCCAATAGTTCCATTGGCAATCATTTCGACCAATGGAGGTGGAGGTGGAGGTGGAGGTGGGTATTTGTATAGAAATCTAGCTAGAGTTCATAACTTTTTGTGCATCTTTTCAAAAGCTTGCCCCAGTAGCTCTCATGACCCTCTTTGGAAAGGGTTGCATCCACAATGTTGGGTTTGAATCAAGTCCAGTGCTAAAGGGTAATCTTCCTAGAAAAGGTCAAGGAGAGGACCAATCAATCAAAAAAGAACATACAAAAGAGAAAAAAACCTGTATGTAAGTCAAAAACATAGAAAACAGCCCTTTGCCCTGTAAAAACGATGGATGAACATTGTCTCAAAAAGAGAACAAGTCCGATCTTGAAATATTAGGGACGTCAGATATGATGTAGTGTGGAGAATGTTTGGCATCAATCTCGTAAGGCGTGGAAAGAAAAGGATTCACTAGCGAAGCAAAATAAGATGGAGTGGACCCACTTATTGAGGGATGAGAAGGGAGATGCTCTTCCATGTGATTTCCCACTACTCTCATGCATGCGCTATTGTAAAGGAAGTAGCTTGTTTTGTTGGAGATAATAAGAGTCTGCAATCTTTGAAATGAAGGGATGGTTTCACACCTGAAAGTAAGATAACAATGGATTCCTGATCGTAGTTTAACTTATTCTGGTTATCAAATCACAGAATGATGTCAGTTTTTTTATATGATGGGTTAGAGATGGTATGGAAATAAGATCTTAAATTGGACCCATCGTCTCCAAGTTGTATACATGGAGTGAAGAAACCTGAAAATCTTTATGGAATCGTATAATTTAGCATTACCATTCACCAGCGGAAAGTCTGCAAACAAAGACATTGCCAAGTGAAAATTTTCACTGGTCTGACCTTGTCAGAAGTTCTGCCTTACCTGACCTTTTGCATGTGTATTAATTGGCTCACGATTAGTAATCTTGAGTCACAGAATTCCCCCGCATTAGCAATCTTAACTCCAGGAGTCATATTTTCAACAAAATAAATTGCAGAATTTCCTCCATATTTTCAACTAGATTGCACAAAGATTCACCTAAACTTAATTTTGGTAATGGCAATCATAACATTTCATTTCCTCCATCTCAAACAGAAGTCCGTTTCATACAATGTGGTTTTAAAGGAGCTTGGATTCAAGCAGGATTTGTGTCTTTGCAAGGTAGGATTACTACCTGATTATATTTACCTGTAATGAATTCCTGCCTTGGCTGGCAGTAAAGGAAAAAAAAAAGTACTTCATTCCATATTAATGCAGTGGACATTGCAAGGCCTGACCTTGATCCAATGTGCAAGTAATAGATAAGGCAAGTGAACAGACTTCAGCATGCACTAAGTGGTAATGGTGGTTGAATCTTTGACTTTAAACAAAAAACTGGACAAAATGGGTGTTTACAACTTATTTTTTTGCGCATTTTCTATGAAATTCTTTGATTGTAAACAAAAAACTCGACAAAATGGGTGTTTACAATTGATTTTCTTTACACATTTTCTGTGAAATAAGAATCGTGTAAATAATGATTATTCTTCTACCTTTGAGGGTAGGTAAAGTTGTTTAATTCTTTTTGGCTATTAAGATAGAATCCTGATTAAGATTTACTTAATATATGGTGGAAAACAACATCATATCCAAAATGCTAGTTAAGGTACTTGTACACCTACTAATTAAAGTACATACCTCTTTCTTCTGTTCTTGGGTGGAGAGCACCAAATTTCACATGGAGGGATATATATACAAATTGAAAGGTCGTAATTCTATTGACTTTGCTAATCCTTTTCCCCTCCAAATTTAGCTTCAATAATTGAGATAAGTGGTTGGCTTTTCAAAAGTGGTGCTTCTCTTAATAGGAATCAGAGACGGGATAGGCCAATTTCTAGAAGGTGGTCATAATCATCTTGCCCCTACTCCATCGGATTCTAGAACTAAATGATCATTCAAAATATATTAATTAGATGATGGAAACAGGGAACTTCTTCACTTCAGAAATAGTAAGTCAAAATTTGATCGAGGTTACTTTTTAACCTAATCACCTTACTCACCTGAATATGATGGTATCTATGGAAAAATGCAAAAAATTTATTCCAAGAAGGGCGGCAGCAGAGAAGCTGTGAGCCTGTGACAAGTTAACTGAAAGATTTAAAACTTCACCAAAATCCATAGGCTGATTATCAGGAAATTTTCTTTTTCAGCAGATCCCTTGCAGGCTGGGAAAGGACTTGGTACTGGTGATACGCAACTATCAATGAACTTTATTAAGATTGTAAAGAAAAGAGGTAAAGTAGGAAACATATATATATATATGTGTATGTGTGTGTGTGTGTGTGTGTATAAGATTAGAATTTAGGTTTAAAGAGTTAGAAACTTGGCATTCTTTTCTTCATTTATTTAGAACATGCACATCATAATTCTTTTCTTCATCTCTCATCAACCATTTAATCAGCAACCAATAAGAGCAGTTTACAAAATAGTAGTATGTAATAGTAAATGGAAACATTTTTTAAACCAGTCCCGCATTTGGTAAATCTGCGCAGCAAATGCTATCGGCCTATCATGGTGTTTTCTTGTCATAAAATCTTATCCCACCAATATAAAATTATTCTATAGCCTATTCTCCGATGAATCACATCATCATTACTAGATATTTATATTACATATCCTTTAAAAACAGAAATTAACTTTCTCATGTTAATTTTAACATTCTTATAACGTTGTACATTCTTTTAAACCCCAACTATCAAACTATTGAATCAGCTGTTCCCTTTCAATGATTGAAGCAATCATATTATTCTTACATGCTTTGCAGCAAACAATACTATAAAGAACCCAAGCAGATAATGAGATAAACAATACTATTGTCAAGTAAATTAGATGGATAATGCTAACTACATAATCAAGTTGCTGAATTGTTTCATAATTTAGTTATACATCAGCCAATATCAATCTGTTTAACCATGCCACCAATTGGTCTCACTCAGATATCCATCAAACTAAAAAGGATAAAGAAGATTATAGGTTTTATTACTTAAAACAAGTAGTGGAAATGCCTTTCGTTAAGTTTAAATTTAAATAAATGTGGGCACCAGCCAAAGCACACTAGTAGGTCTACTAGTGTGAGTTTAAACTTGTGTCTTACTGACGACTGAACTATCTTTTGGGGACACCCACGACTTCCCTTTTGCATGTGCAGGCTCCTAACCCTTTCAATGCAGCATACGCGCATTTCGTTTTCAGGCTCCAACCCAATCCCTATATATATCCACCTTCACTTGCATTCCAAACCAACGTTGTGGGATTTGAAACGTTCCCATGGCTATTCAGACGATATTTGGTGCAGTTTTATTTGTGTTATTGGGTGCAGGTATCTGTTCCGCAAGTAGAGCTCTCCTCACTCTTGACGAAGTAGCTTCTCACCTTCCAGGTGTTGGTCATGTTGGTGGCACCGTTAGCGCATATGGTGTTGGCATCCATGGAGGAGGTGGAGGCGGTTCAGGAGGTGGTGGTGGCAGCGGCTATGCAGCTGTAGGAGAAGAGGGAGCTACTGGATATGGAGGTGGTATTGGTAAAGGAGAAGGTGGTGCTGCTGGGTATGGAGGAACTGGTGGACATGGAGGTGGTGGTGGCAGTGGTGGGGGCGGTGGTAGCGCAGGTGGAGCTTCTGGATACGGAAGTGGAGGTGGTGAAGGAGGTGGAGCTGGTGGCGGTGCTGGGTATGGAGGAGCCGGTGGACATGGAGGTGGTGGTGGCAGTGGTGGTGGTGGAGGTAGCGCAGGTGGAGCTTCTGGATACGGAAGTGGAGGTGGTGAAGGAGGTGGAGCTGGTAGTGGTGCTGGATATGGAGGAGCCGGCGGATATGGAGGTGGTGGTGGTGGAGGCAATGGTGGTGGCGGAGGTAGTGCAGGTGGAGCTTCTGGATATGGAAGTGGAGGAGGTGAAGGTGGTGGAGCAGGTAGTGGAGTTGGTGGACATGGAGGTGGTGGCGGTGGTGGTAGTGGTGGTGGTGGTGGTAGTGGGGGTGGAGCTGCTGGATATGGAGGTGGAGGTGGAGAAGGAGGTGGCTCTGGGTATGGTGCAGGTGGTGCAGGTTCTGGAGGTGGTGGTGGGGGAGGGAGTGGTGGAGGCGGTGGAGGAGGATATGGTGCTGAAGGGGCACATGGAGGTGGATATGGCAATGGAGGAGGAGCTGGAGGAGGTTCTGGTGGTGGTGCAGGTGGTCATGGAGGCGGTGGCGGCGGAGGCTCTGGTGGTGGAGGTGGTGGTGGATATGGTGCAGGAGGTGCACATGGGGGAGGATACGGAAGTGGTAGTGGGGGTGGTGGCTATGCCCCTTGAAAGTACCATATCATTAGACTGTACTAAGAGCATAAATTTTCTTACCACTAGTATTGACAAAAATAAAGGTAATATGGGTAAGAAAATCAAAATGTTCGAAGGTGTTGCAGGAAAGTTTGGACGTCAAATGGATGATCTTAAAAGTTGTATTAAATGATATTCATCGTATGAATTCATCTTTTCCTAATAATTTCAATTATTCTATACTATATATATCGTTCATATCTATATGCGTTGATATTAATCTATTACAAATTGATTACTTGTTACTTGAAGGCTACGTGCGTGATCCATCTTGATGGTTCCTGCATGCATGGGATAACAGGAATTATACACCATAGCAAAATAAATGAAAACCGCAGTTTTTAAGTATTATTCAGGTTTGGCTAACTCCAATAATCGATCCTTAAAAGCAACTACAGACGTTAGGCAGACCCAAAGTGGAATGAAATTGTTGATCAATCCAATGTTAATTAATATTAGTGTTAAAAGATATTATCCCGAATCCTCTGTGTCCGTGGCTTTCTTTCTCCCATGGCACACATAAGCAGGGAATAGTGTGTGGTCTGGTGTCCCTTTACAAGCAATTTATGTCACCTTGACCCCAAATTTTGTCTCTCGATTATATGTCTGTTACCATCACATATATATAAAGTGCCGAATCTTTTCTTCAAGTCCTGCGACAATGTCTTTGAATATATTAAAACCCCCAATTCTCATCTCCCAACGGAGACGATCCCCCGCGTAAGTTTACATCTCCCAACACAGAGTTACACTTTATGACCTCATATACCCAGGTTCTACTTTACGATTGTCAAATCATAACTAGCTAAAGAAAGAACTAATCATCATCGTCTATCTCTAGCTCTCGCTCCTCCGGAATTCCTTTCAAAGGTTAGAATATATCACCAGTAGAGTAGGCACCAACGAGGCTGGGGATTTGCTAGGAGTGTGCTCTCCGTTTTCAATCATGGGCCGCCCTTTGATCATATCAACGTACCTTTCCTCACTCATCATTACCATATTGCAGGGTATTTTTTCAGCGAAAAATTCCCTGTTATTTCTCAGATACGGGTTACTGCATTTCAGAAATTTATAATCTGACAAGGATCAAAACATGAAAAATAAAATAACAAGCTAGCTAAAAATAAAATCATCTGTCAGAAACAACCCATGTCACACGAAGGCTTATGATTCTTTCGACAATGAGCAATGCCAGGGGATACCCCATTACAATTTCTTTCTCACCTGCAGGTAAATGTTGACAGCAGTTATGATAAGCTGTGAAGCCACTATATTGAGAAATGGAGAGTCTAGTGTGTACTGGTACTGGAGCCAGAGAGTTCAAATTCAATACCCCATGTTTTTTGCAAAGGTCAAACACTACTTGGATCTTTAGATCTGGCAATATGTTACAAGGAATATTCAACGAAGGCAAGAAACCAAGGAGGGTGACCATGTGACCGGATGCTATAATGTTTGCAAGCACCCACTCTAGCTGCTGTGTTAAATTCCTTAAGGCCAGCCATAAATATAACAACATGTTTAGGAACGTTTGCTGACCCTGGTGAACTAAGATCATTTGCCAGTTTTGAACACATCTTCTTTCCCGTAAACCTTGGCAGCGAATGCTTCAAAGAAGCAAGTAAAAAAAGATCGAGGGAAGGGATTTGTGAAAAGCCATTGTCATCCTTTTATAGTACTTTTCCCTTTGATTGTCGGGAGTGAAAAGATCAAAACTTAGAACATTTTACAAGAACTAGGTTGTTGTCCGACCATAACGAAAATCCCAACATGATTCTTCGGGCAATGAGAAGATGGTGTCCATGTTTCAGATTCTGGTCTCTAGAATTTGTCGTTTGAAGGAGTTAGAGGAGTCTAGAACACCAAGAAAAGTGTCTTTAAGTTTTCCCAACATTCCGAATGATGAAATTTGTAGTGACAACCCAAAGAAACATCCTGCTGAAACTCCTGGTTAACTTATCCGAGCAACTTCAAGTTAGCAAAGTTTGTTAATTTCAATGCAAGCATCGAAACAGTGAGCACCTAATAGATATGAATTAATTTGCAAAATATATACCTCTTTAAACTTTTATTTTTTGAAATATCATGCGAAATTTAGAGTTAGGAAATTAAATTTTAAAAATTGAAATCAACATCCTGAACTTTACATTTTCCCTGACCAGAAGTAAAAGTAAACCAGGAAAAGATCAACCCTTTTCACCATCACAATACACTGCATGAAAAATACGAGCTTCACATATGCCATGTCTTAGCTCTGGCCTCTGTGAAGGTCAAGAACAGACCAATTGGATTAAGCGAAAAGGCTCAAAAACTGTTCAGCGTGAGACAGGAACCAGGCGCATAAGATTATGGTTGTGTATCCTGCGAGGGCTGACCCTTTTGCAAGGAGATGATCCTGATCTTTTCTTCATTTTACTTGCAGTTTGTGGAGCCAGCAGAGCCATAATTTTTGCACCTCGTGCAGTAGGCATCCTTTTGGCATATCTCATTGCTTCAATTACTCCTTGATCCATCGCAGGTGGCATGTTGGCTGCTCTTCGATAAATGCTCCGCTTCTCGTCTTTCAAATGAGCACGTGGACCACATCCTGAAAACGTAAACCATCTAGTCATCATGTTATCCTAGGAAAAGCATATCAAGTGACGAACTTAATATGAAGTAATTCCTTTACCTGAAGTGTCTCTCTGACACTTATAGGGAAATTGAGATCTGGATGGCATCCAAGGGAAACCACTATCATTTGTAGTTTCATAAACACCCTGCTTGTGGTTGTTTTTCCCAAGATAAGACAAAGTAGATATATATTTATCAAATTCATCAGAACGATTGCTTGACCCTGGTGCTATAGAAGCATCAGTCATGGGATTATCATCTCGGATGTCAATGGACTTTGATACGTGAAATTCTGATTCATTAGCAAGCGCTCCAAAAATGTCCTCGGCAGCAACACATGGTTCATCAACCTCAACTTCAAATTGTGTTTTGCAAGAGAACTGAGTGGAAGTTTTATCAGAAACATCTTTAGATTCCTTGGCACCACAATCAGCACTATTTTGTACCTGGGGATTGGAGGCACATTCTATGCTATCTAGAACAAACTTTGGTGAAGAATCAGAAATACAGGGGTCTGCATAAGGTTTTTGTACTTCTATTGCAGTTGAAAACCAAGGTATACCCTGCCGAGCATAGAATAAAATGTAGGCTTCCTCAGAAAGCACAACTTCTTCTTCAACACTAGTAACCTACCAAAGATAAAACATTACCATTATGCACTCTTATTCAAGCTCCATCAAAATGTTAGTATGTTATCTTTTTTTCTGGTAGATGGTAGTATGTTATCACAAATAATTTGGAATTCTTAAAATCTATAATCAATAAAGGCATTTAAATTTGACCCTTCCAGGAAATTTTTACAATTTCAGTGAATTTATCAGACTCAAAATGCTTGAAGAACAAGCAAAATGCTTAAAACATTGGGGAAATCAAACCCTCTGTAACATATCCTTAATAAGCAAGAAACATCTCATCAAGAAACATATATTGTAACTAGTTCACAACCATGGTGTCTATCCTTAGAAAAATAGAAGTGCAAGTTATACTTGGAACAAGTTTGTCAATCATTACCCTTGAATCATTAAACTTATGCCACATCTCAGGAGAGGATCGAATGTAGCAAATGTAATGTCCAGAAGTAGGTCTGAATCCACAATGCTTCACAACTGCATATAGTTGATACCTCAGTTGCTCCTATTGCAAAAGGAAAACAAACGAGACAAGTTTAATAATTTTGCACCAAGTATAAAGTAAAAGCAAGTAGTATAACTAATCAAACATCAATTTTATCTAGTCTAATGCTCACTAATCCAATTGACCATGTAAGCCCACCCCTAAGAATAACATGCAAGTATCATTATTGCATTTGTCAAGAGATCTTATAGGTGTTGTCAAAAAAGGTGATACTCACATTACTTGTCTCATTTACAGTAGTGTAAGGCTGCAAATCCAACTCTAGTGGGAGGACCACATGCTTGTCAATCTTCTCAATAAAAGTTCCTTGAGTCTTAAATCTCTTCAAGTGGAATGTTGCAACTGAAGGAACCTGGTCCAGCATAAGCTGTTTTTCTACTGACACCTCTTCTTTACAATTCTCACACCTAAATTTTGCCTCCAAAGCCTCAATCTTTTCCACCTTGGTGAAAGACTCTAAGGCACTTGGAAGAGAGTCCACATCTTCAATCTCCAAACTCAGGTCATTCAAAGGCTCATAAGCGCAAGAGATATGACCACAATTGCAACAACATAGCTGAAACCATCAAAGTAAGGTATAGCCAATAAAATACTACATTCTGACTTTGGAGGGTAAAAACAAACACTTCTATAGAAACAACTAAATGAGATTAAGTTGCATCATTCATACTCTGCTAACAAGAAGACCACCAAAAACCCTCTTAACTGGGCAATCATCTGGAGAGGACAAATCATTCTTGAGCTTTGAGTCTGAGCAACAGCTTTCAAGCCTAATTAACAAGCATTGCAGGAACTCATGAGCATCTTCCTGTTGATATCTCTGGAAACAAGATGAGATATCTGGATTTCATGTGAGTCAATAATCACAACTATGAAAACACTTCTACTTTTTCTTTTTCTTTTTTTTAAGTCACCTCTCAGTATTTGTAATGCACCTTTTCAAGCAAATTGATAGCAAATATGGCAATTTCGTCAAATTACAAAAATGAAAGAAAAAATAAATAAACCTAACCATGTAGTGTTCAATGTACTATAAATTCAATGCTGGATGAGAACCTATCAAAATTTATCAGCATGTACAGTGACCAATTTAATTATAAATTAATCAAGCTAATAATAAATAAATAAAGAAAAGAAAAAGGATACATTTCAAATTGTCAAAAATTTTAAAAGGCCACACAACTCCTCCTGATGAATTCAATGAAAGCTCAATGTGATCATGAAGAGCACAAAGTAAACAAAAACTCTCAATATCACCTGACAATTCCAACAAAACAAAATAGTTAGAAACCCCTAAGGAAAAAAAAGAAAAAAAAAAAAAAGAGAGAGGTTAAAGAACGAGTCTTACGCTTACATGACTTCTCGTGATGATCCAAAGATCGCAGACCCAAAACAAATGGAACAGTATGAGTAATACATTGCAATACAACATTGATAAAACATGTGTTACGCAAGTTTTCCAGCCCTGCACCCTACAAAACCAATATTCAAAGCTTGAATTATTCAATTACTATTCTACCTATATATATGTATAACTATACACGCAAATACTCTAAAAGATTAAAAGAAAAAAAAAAGAACATACCACCCCCGTTGGTTCATCTTCAGTTCTAGAAGTTTCTTTAGGAGGAGACAAGGGCCTTGACCACCAACGGGTCCATGTAGAATATCCAGAACCAGGGTGTTTGAATTCGTTGTCTCTGCGAATATAGAACTGATCACACACCATAGGTCTCATATGGTATGGAGAATTATAATTACTATAAGGCCATCCGTAAGGATCTTTTTCTTCTTCCTTTTCTTGACAGGTTTCGGGTTTCTTAGAATGATGAAGGACCAAAGCTAGAGGCTGAGACGGCTCAGGCTCAGTAGAAGAAGGCGAAGGGGGTGGAGAAGTTAATGAAAAGACATCATTAGTAGATGGTGCCTTGGACAAACGAGGGTCGTCTACGGTTTCTTCTTCGAGGATATTGTCCATAATGGTTTCAGGATCAAGGGAATCAACGGTCATTAGGGAAACCGATAAAGACCCAGATAAAGAATCATCCATTAAAGGCGGAACTTGAGGGAACTCATCAAGATTCTCACGAGGAAGAAAAGATTCTGAAGGAGATGGATCATCTGCCATTAGGGTTTTAGAAGAACATGTTTGGGTTTCCATTGAAAGGTAGCTTAAGTTTGCTGTGAGCTTTGAGAGAAGAAAAACAAAGGAAGTTTTTTGGCATCCTCAAATCTTGTTGGATTAAGAAATCTTGTTCTGAAAAAAAATAAAAAATCGAAGAGGTAATTCAAAGGATGGAAATTGAAAAAACGGTTTTTATAATTAAAAAAAAAAAAAAAGGGAGAGATTTTGAAATGGGAGGGAAAACTAAGCCGTCATTTATTTGGCTTTATCGAGAGAGCGTTTTTCTTTAACCGTTGAAAATAGACTTGACCATTGCGGGATGTGAAGAGAAAACCGAATAGGACTGTTTGACTGCATGTTTCGGTCAAAACCTCTTTTTTTTCTTTTTTCTTTTTTAATCAATTGTCGGTTTAGTAGCCTATTTAATGTGATTTATTAAAATTAAATATGTAAAATATGTTACAAAATATATTCGACTTTTAAATCAATTTCTCCGTTTCTGTCTATTTTTTTCTCTAATATTATATTATTTTTATCGTTAATTAATGTTATTGTACTAAATTATTACTATTATGATTACAAATAAAATTTATTATAATATTTTTTCAATTATTCTGTTTCTGAATAAAAAAATTTGGGCTTTTAAGTCCATTAATGTCTTGAGCTTGCAATCCAAAAAAGGAAATGGAAAAGAAGTTTGGGCTTCAAAGCCCTCTCTATCTTAAGTTTTTCAAAAGTCCAAAATCCAACCCCAAAAAAACCTTTAAGTCCAATACCCATTTTGTCCTCTTCCCTGCAGCCCAGCTGTGTCTTTCTCTTCTTCGGTGGAAGAACAAGAAAGAGCCATCATAATCATCACCAAAATGAAGGACCAAGAAGTCCAACAATCAATAGAACCAGTATCATGTAGCAAAAACTGAGAATTTCCAAGTAAAAATCCAACTTTTTCAAGAGAAACCAAACAAGATTCCAACTTTAGAGCATGTTTTCTCCATGGAGCATCCTGCTGCTTCTGCAAAGAACCATAAGATCCCAAGCATCATACGGCAGAGGTTTGTTGACCATGTTTACCGTCCTCTGACAACATTAATCTTCTGACTAGTTATGTCTTGTTGCTCACTTTACATGCTGATAGATTTGTAACTGACCCATCAGATATAACAAAGGATCTAAGAATCAGAGAAGTGGGCTTGAGACCTGATTTTGTGACAGCAGATGATGGTGGTTTTTGTCTTGGCTATGTGAGTATGAAACCTTGCCATACATACAGATGAGATTGCTAAATGAAGAAGAGACTCATATTACATATAATCAAAATCCCAGAACACCATCAGTACTATAAAGTAGGAAAACCAGCCAGCCATAAACATGGAGGTTTTCAAAATATTATTTGTCCTAAGAAAGAATTTTATGATAAAATCACTTTACATTCACTACAAAAGATACTGGCTGGTAATGTAACAAACTCATATATATATTTGTTAAGGCCAGAGCACTTCATTAGAGGATTCTGTCCTGGAGATCGGTAATAAAAGTGGATGCAAAGGAGCTGAGTTTCTTTCCAGTCTCTCCCGCTATGTTCTTAAGGTTCGAGATATCCTGTTGTGCCTGAAAGTCAAATTTGATAATAATAAAATGAAATAAATGAACGTAACAAGATGAAGAAAATAAGGGAAAAAAAGGATAAGATAAATTCCCAAATATCACATGCATGAATAAAAATTCAGGTGACACATACAAGATGCAATTTACAAAGCAAACCTGGAAAGAGATTCGGTTGATGAGGTCACTGGCATTAAGGTCAAGAGAATTATCTGTACTGTGACCAAATAGATCAGCGCTGGAGATGGCCATTGAACCCTTGAGAAAAAAAAAGATGGATATTATTATCAGAAAGCCACATTTGATACATAAATATGCACCTATTACAGTTCTCACAGCCCTTGAACTAAGAAATGGAATACCAACTATTTCCAATTATGCCCATATATTTTGTTAAAGATGATTAAAGAAAGCAGATTCCAAAAATTAGTGTTTTCTTTTGCTACCTTACCATAAATAAGTGATGCTATTACACTATAATTAGTTTATGATAAAAGTCCTACTAAGAATCTACTTTTTTTACTGCGACTGTCAACAAGAAAACTAAGGAAAAGGATATTATAAGATGGTATTAAAAATTCCCGATAGATGGATACAGAATTTTGAGCCTTAAAAAAGATGATATCTTTCAAGAAAGCAATAGGAATTGCTGCTGCACATACTGAAAATTTCTGCAAAGTTACTTGAGCATCATTATCAGCTGCTTTGGTCTGATCACCAAAAAATTGGGCTGATGAAATAGATTTTGCATTTGAGAACTTTCTCCTAGCTTCATCAGTTTCCTCAATCTGGGAATTAGAATGAAGAAATAAGAAACAACACAAAAAAGCAGAGGCGGATACAAGCAGTAAAGAATTAAGATCGACCACTTCCAGAAGCAATTAAAAAGTTCAAGAAAATCATACAAAACTTCCCTCCCATCAAATTCTCACACATTAAATTACATGGACATGTCCAATATGGGAACATTTTCTTTATAAAAAGTCTATTGATTTGGAAGGTACAAGTGTTGCATCCAAGTAGATTCAAGGTGTCTCATAATGTCAGAGTAGAAGAAAGTATAGATGCTATGTCTTGAAATTTGATTTTCAAGGAAAAATGTAACTTCACTTTGGCTCAAAGCATAACCAGAATAATATACCGAGTTCCATCTCTTGATGTCAGACAACCTCATTATGAAGTTGAAAACATCTCTTAAAGTACAGGTTTTGCAATTTGACCAAAGAATCATAAAGAAGAGCAAGATGTTCTAAAACCAAAAGGAGACAATTCCATCAACCTAATCAGCATTTATACACAAAATATGGAAGTTCTTCATCATCAACAGATGTCATATTACTTACTTGCACTTTTGAGGAATTGGAGCTTGATTTCTTCTGAAAACCACTGTCCATTCCAAATTCTGCAAAGAAGCTTGATGACTTTGGTGGAGCAACATGACTAAGAACTTGTGGGCCACCAGAATTCAACTCAGTAGATTGAACATTTTCTACATACTCAAAACGAGATGGAAAAGATGAGCCAATCGGTGCAGCATTATTAGTTGAGGAAGCAACAGGGACAACTGGTTCTTCAGGCTTCTGTTCATAGAGATTTTCACTTGGCTGCAATAAAGAGAACTATGTTATCAAGAGAAAAGGCATTTAAAACAACTCCGAAAATTAAGTAATTATTCTAATCAAGATATCCTTATGATCATTCTGCGGTAATTGCATTGCTCATAAAGGTCCACAATAAATACCTTAGTAGTAAGCTTTCGGGCACCAAGCCCCCCCGTTTTCCCAGTTTTCTTTGCACCAAGAGGCTTCTTGATAGTGCTGGCAACAGCTGTATGAGAAGCTTTTGGTGCAGCAGAAACTTCTGGTTTTTCTGGCCTGCCTAAAGAACTTTCTTTAGGAGCTTCATCAGTCTTGCTATCAAGAAGTCCATTAGGTGCCTGTGATGACTGAGAAGCAACAGGGGATGAAGGCAAACCTGCCTCTTCTGCCAAACTTTTAGCGACTTCTTTTGATAGTATTTGCCTATATAAATCAGCAGCTCTTGAAGTATATTTGGCCTCAATTTTGCCTCCATCAGTCCATCCATGTTGCTTAAAGAAAACTTGTGCACGGTTGTTTCCTCCATAGATCATCATTTTCAATTGTTCAGGAGACCATGAGTCTAAATTTGTAGACCTGCATAAAATATACATGTTTTTCAGAACAAGAAAAGAGAAACACAAAGACTCGAGAATAAAAGCAGCAGCTGGGACATGATACAACGGTACTGACATTACAAAATTCTCAAGTCCTCAATAATCAAAATGTTTCATAGTAAGCACCAAATATCTAAAAGACTCTTGTTTTTTTGGCCAGTAAGGAGGACAATCTTGAAAAAGTGGTTTGAGTGATTTTGTACCTTCAAATTTGGCTAAACATGAGCACCAACAACCCTAATATCCAGGAAATAGGGCATAGGTAAGAAATGCACATACTACATATTTACCCACAAAAGGGTTTCCTCAATCAAAACCATAAAAGGAACCTGTCTTAATAGCTTCCAATATTATATCAAAGGAAGAACAGAAACTAACATAGGTGCAGCCTACATCATTTGCAGAAATGAACTTATCCTCATTCATAACAAAAACACAGAAGATGATATTTCATAATAGCATTTAAGCTCAATGCAAGCCCTCAATATAAATATGAAGGGAATTCTCTCAGAAACTGGAAACAAATTGTGAGGAGGCATCTTTGTAAACAAAATCTAGAACTCTCAGAATGAATAACGAAACGCTCAAATTCAGGTGCACGTAAAAATAATTTAAAGGAACAGAATTTTCTCATTATTATTCATTCCTTCAGTTGAATTTCAGGAGATCCAAAAAGACAGAACATAATATCCTCACTCAAACCTTCCCCAGATTAAAATTTATAAATTTCCACATCAAATATTTCAGTTTTATCCATAAATTTCCTTATGAAAAGATGACTTGAAAGCCCAAAAAAGCCTTTTTCTTCCTCTACATAAGCAAACAAAATTCCAACTTTTTTTCACGCATAATTTAAGAATTTGGACGCACAAAATTAAAAGGCATCAATTAATGTAAAACACGAAAATCAAAAGGAAGCATATTGAAAACTAATAATACCTGACAAAGCTGATGTGGACACCAAGACTCCGATGAATGGCTGAGCAATCGATGCAGAGAAAGATACCATAGGTCACCGATGCCCATGTCGGATTCTTGGCATTACAATCGAAACACATCTACAAAACAAAAACAATTAAAAAAAAAAAGCCAAATCTAAGATCCAGTAACAGAATATCCAGATCCGAACCAGATCTAAAAAAAACCGTAAAAAAATTTAAAATTAAAAACGAAAATAAAACAAACCTTGTTCTCTGATTTTGCTTTCAGCTTTCTGAAAACAGCGTTCTTGTCGCTCAGGCTGTCGTATGACGCCATCGATGTTTTTTATTTCTCTTATTCTTTTTTTTTTTTAATTTGTGATTTTTCTCTCTTTTTTGTTTTTGAAGAACGAAGGTTTGTTCTGAAGAGGTGTGGGATCGATATCAAACACCTCCTCAGGCTTTAGAATGGGAGATTTTGTTTTTATCTCAACAATTTAACACATAAGGGAAAAAAAAAAAGGGAATGGGGGGAGGGAGGGGGGAGTATCATTTTATAGACAGGGATGATTCCGTGTTCAAATGACTATTTTAGCCTTCTTTTTTTTGAAATGACGTAAATGACCTTGAAGAGAGGGAGAGTGGTGGGATGGCGGGAAGAGGGGGCAGAGCTTCCTTCCCTCCGTGGAGGTGTCCGGTGAGTGCCGTGGTGGCCAAGTGGCGGTTATCAACGTCTATTGGATCTCTGGATGTTAAAAGCTTAACTAACTAAGTACACATTTCGTCCACCTCAATTATTTTTGACGGTTCAACCTATTTTTGGATCTATTAGGAATACTATTTTATTTTATTTTTGTGTTTTCCATCTTTATTAAGGTATTACGCAACGACCTTTGGCACCCCAAAGTAAGAGCAAACAAAATTTCTTTTCAAGATTTAAAGTTAATTTAATAATAATCTCCTTTGTTTAAAAAAAATTAGGGACCTAGCTGAGTTGACAAGTAAATTCATTTTTCTTCTTGTGCTTTTGGGCTGGTAAAATAAGGTTTGCAGGTAATTTGAAAAAAAAAAGAGTAGATTTGATTTATTAAAAAAGAAAGAATGATTAAAGAGGTGCCAGAATTATAATTTTGTGATGCGTTTTTTATGCTCAAGATAGAAATTTTATAAGGAAAAAAGATGGTAAGATGATTATGGGAGAAAATAAGATTAATCACTCCTTTTCGTTATTTATTTTGTAATTTTTATATATAAAGATATAATTTTATGATAATTAAATGTGATGTATATTTATTTTTTTATTTATGGAAGAAATTTAAATAAGACAAATGGTATTAAAGTGATATCCTCGAAACTTATATTAATCACTTTTTTTTTTTAGAATTATTAGGATTTTAAGATTTGGGAGTATATAAATGTAACAAGTTTATAATGATATAATCATGATTTGGATGACACATGATTTAGAATTTACCCATGTGATAAAGATTGATTACAAATCAAATGAGCTAGTGCCAAATCAATAAAAATTTCTGTTTTGTCTGTCAATTGTATGATGGGGAGAAATTAATCCAGTCAGGAAGAGAAATGGAAGCGACCATAAAGCAGGCTTGGCTTTTAAGTAACTATTGAAGAACTTATTACATAGTCCAGGAATTTGTTCTGTACAAATACCCAATTCCAGTTTAGCTGTTGAATGAATGGGTATCATAAAGTAGAGGCGCCAATTCCAAGAAGATGATGAAAACAAGACAAATGTTAAGAACATCGTCATCACTTTCCAGATTTGATGAATCATAGGAGGACTCGAAACTAGAAAGTTTCACAGCCTTCTTCTGGCCTGCAAAACACACAGATTTACTGATATTTGGGTTGCAAGTATAAAGATTAACAATCAAGAGAGAAGGAAATAATGTGTTGATTAAAAGAGAAACCAGAAATAATAAGAATAATATAATTTGTAGAGCCATGCATGGCCTCAACGTACTCTCATCTCTTTTCTCATCTTTTCATCCCTCTCTTCTCTTAAATTCTCAAAGCTCCAATCCCTCCTCATTCCACAGCTCCTCACCAGCCTAGGTTCACCCTCAGCTCCATATGTTGTATCAATTGTATTTAGCCGGCGATGACCACCCTTCTTTATCTTCTTCCTGGGAGCCACCGACATTAATGGCTCACTTCTGATCTCTTCATAAGCTGCGGGGCCTAAATTCCCTGACCAACTTCTATCAACAGTTTTACTGCAATTTTTCCTGCTATCCTTTTCTTCACCACAGTGTTCCCTATCTTTGTTTGAATCCGTTCTTTGCAGGACCTGGCAAGTCAAGCAGTTGAGATTCATGGCTTTATTAATAATTTCTTTTTGTCCCCTACAAAACAAGTTCTTTGATCAAGAGAATTGGGAGATTGAAAAGAGATGTTCTACATTGAGGTTTTAATGGCTTAGAAAAAAGAGATAACAAATTGAAATATACAGATAAGTTTTAAGTTGTTAATGAAACAGCTTTTGGGATAGATGTTCCCGCAAAGACAGGTAAACCAATTCTAAATTTGGTTGTCTAAAATTTTGAGTCATACATACAACTAATTGATGACCAACAAAACAATTTGTCTGATCATTGATGATCCTCTCAATGGAAGCTAGTCGGATAAATTTGGCATTCAATGTTTGCATTGACTCCTGCAACTCAGAGCATTAATTTTGACCTTCTTCCCTTTCTTCATGATTATCACCAAATTTCCTTAATCTAAGTATCCAAGAGAGCATTGTCCTATCTAAAAACGGTGAAGTTTGAAAATTTCACAAGCAGTAATCTTGTTGAAATGAAAATGTGATGTGAGGATTTCTAATTAAAAATGCCTATGTAAATTTGTCCTTTGTAATAACATTAGGATTTACGAATTAAGAAGTTCATGGGGCGAATGTCCAAATATAAGGGTTCGAGTTTGGACCATAAACACAATCACAAAGACCTGCTGCGGGAGGGAGACATTATGTTTGCCGTTTTTGTTACTAAAGTGGGAAAAGCAATGATGTAACTTATTTGACTGTGATATTCATTTGAAATTCCTTGATCTAAGCTAAAAGGCTGAAAAGGTGTACTAATCAGAATTTCCAACAAGGAATCCTTTAATATAACTTCTTTAGGACACATTCACAGTTGAAGGTACAAGGTGCAGGCAAGGAAACTTACAGGCATATCCATGTTTGATATCTTTCAAGTAAGGAAAAGTCTAAATTTAATCAGCCACAGAATGATCAATCAAACAGGATGAGAGAGCAATGATATAATGTTAATGTCACATATTACAATCATTCCTGACCGTTCTAACTCTAGTCCGATCTTCGACAGCAGCAATCTTCCACTTCAAGCATCCTATTCCAAAATTAACGTTCTTCATATACTCAGTTCTGCATCTGAAATCGAAAGAGTAGTAGAAGTTCAGAAAACCTAACAATAAAAGCTCTTCCTAAATGCGGCAACAGACTGACTTACTGCACCATAAGTTCTTGCAGTCATTACAACTTCAGGATCTTCAACAATCACACAGACATGTGCTATCCAGCATTCAATTTTGTACCTCTTATACATTCGTTTTAGAGGACAGCTTGGTTACAACCAACTCAACTCTTCTTGTTTCTTGCATCTGCTTTCCAGTCTCTTCGACCAAGCTTAGGTTTCCTAATTTCACAGTTCCCCAGGATATGGGAATTCTCAGAATGGCATTCTCTTTCTAGTGATCCTCCTGCTTTAATCCCAGAGGGCAAGCATGGTATTTGGCTTTCAACAGTTAGTTTAAGAGTAGACTGGACAGATGCATTATGCATGTCATCTTGACCCTTGCTGATGTGAGCCCTTCTAGCATCTTTTTTCCAATCCCGTTTACAATGAACACGTGTTGTCCCATTACCAAGGATCCCATTTAATTGCAACTCCACTTGTGGCATAGTTGGTTGGCTTAGGACATGAGGCTTCTGCATATCTTCTTCAAGTCGTTTCCGGGCCCTATATCTACGCTGCCGTTCCCGGTTCTTTAGACGGCGAGTCATAATGTCATTATAATTTTTAGCATTTGTCTTAGTTACTAAACTACCTTGACTTCCACTAAGATTCATATTTAGTCCGTCTTCCATTTCAAACAAATGTTACATTGGCATGAGTAAACCTAGTTGATGAAGGAACCCAAATGATCTGTAAACAATTTCTGTACAATGGAAAGCATGCCGCACTTCTTACCATTGAGGATTTTCTGCAATATGCAACATCAAGTCAGGTGCCAATTACCATTATGTCAATCAAGATCTCAGACATCATACTGGAATCTGTAAACAAAACAAAGCACAAAATTTGAGAGATTATGCTAAATGTAAATGAGATTGTCTTGGATAAATGAGGTTGTTTTGGATATTATATAGGCTACAACTTCAGACATGACACAAAAGGAAAAAAGATACTAGAAGATTACTGAATAATCTAGTAAGTTTCACTTCTATAGCATGTTTAGTCCATTATTAGCTTGTACAAGGTCAGAAACAGAGATCGCAGAAGTTAGGCATATTGGACTTTGACTTCTTCTGTTCACCTTCAGTCCAAAACTTCTGCTTTGAATGACATGGCAAAGGAAGGGAAAGAGACCATTATGTTCCATGTATAGAAACTCCTGAATCTCAATACTAATGAACGCAACTGTTATCCATGAGAACAATGTCTTTGGAAAATATTGATATATCTGCCTTCTTAATATCTGTCTGGCCCAATGTGCAACTATATCTGTAAATTTTATATCTATATAAACTGCACAGGCAACTGTAACCATTTAAATATCTATCAACTATTTATGTAACCATTTAAATACCTATCAACTATTTCCATAAAGTTCGAAAATGAGCATCATTTCTAATCCTCCCAGCATTAATATGGAACTTTAACACCATTTCCAGGGTTTTTTTTTTTACATTATACAATAATTAACTGCAACTGTTTCCCTATCAGACTTGATTCTCATACAAATTTGCTTAACTTTTATCAAATGTTTTTACTTCTTTGTATATCTACATAGAATACTTGAATTCCTTCTGGAAATGAAATATTTGCTTCAACTACCAACAGTTAGAACCAGATTTATCTCTTTCTTCTTTTCTACAAAAAAAAATGCCTTCTAGGAAATCTTAACCGTTAACATGATTCATATCACTTTTTGCATGATCACATCTGAGGTAACAACCCCTGAACTATCCTTATTCTTAATTAGGAAAATGTAAACCTCCCTTAGGGGTAATAAAACAGAGCATTTAGCTAATTAAGTCATTGCATCAAAAGGAATATAACCATACTCCTAGTATCCTAACTCATTTTCTAAGTTTTACGTAATCATTGAATTACACATCAATGAAATGCAGAATCTATCCAATATTTGCTCTTGCAGCATTCTGAATAATAAACAACTCAATTCGTAAGATGAGTGAGCAACGTGGAAGCTCATCAACTAATCTAGAGCTTGAACATCGACCCCCAACAAGCCATGAAATTTATAATACAATAATAGATTCTTTTCAGCCCCATCTGCTTTCTACAACTTCCAAGCTTGAATCATTTTTTTTTTTTTTTGAAAGATCCAAGCTTGAGTCTCGTTTCAATTACAGTAGTAAATGGATAGTATATTTCATGTAACACATTAATGATGAGTAACATCAACACTTTGGCAAAAAGCACAAATTGATGAATCAATATTGTTTGATCAAGAAAATTTTAAAGCAAAATCACATCAAACCTATATATATGCAAGAAAAACAAAAACCCCACTAATCAAAACAAGCATAAACGGCAAACCCTTTACAAATTTGACATTAACAAACATCTTCAATGTTGTTTCAAGGGTGTCCCAGAATCTAAAAGCAGTCATTTCTGGGTTTTAAAAGCAAGACCCTTAAAGCCAAAAATTTCAACAGGAGAAAAGGAAACAAGCATTGTTACTAGAACATGCAGAATTAAAAGATTGCCAAAAAAATGAAATATAGAAAGGATTACATATGTACCTTTAAGAATGCAGATTTTATTGTGAATTGATTTAAGAGTATTGGGGCAAGATGAGAGAGAGAGGAAGATACCAAGGAAAGAGAGGTGCTTTTTAGAGCAATTTTAGGATGCCGATGTTAAGGAGAATCGAAGTCAAAACCCCGATAACCAAACAATTTTTTATGTTATTATTGAAAATCCTATTTATTGTGCCACACTCGAAGAATGAAGGGGTGGTGGCGCAGTTGGCTAGCGCGTAGGTCTCATAGCTTCGTTGAGTTATCCTGAGGTCGAGAGTTCGAGCCTCTCTCACCCCATTCTTTTACTTTTGTGTTGTGGGCTGGCTGTCCCAAAGTAAGTAGTGTCAAACTCTGAGTATCCCGAGGACGAGAGTTGCAGGATGAATTTGAATTTTAGATAAATTTGATCTGATTTAATATTATATAAAATAATTTTTATTTATATATATTTATATAATTATATATTTAAAAATAATATTTTATTAATTTTGGATCGAATTAAAATGAATACAATTTATATAATATCGAATTAAAATTAAATTTGATGAATGTAAAATTAGATCAAATTCAAAATAAATAAAAATTGATTTCGATTCGATCCGTTATCATTTTTATCCTCGATATTTCATATGCAATGCGTTTCTCATGAGTTGAAATTAGGCGAGCTCTGAGGCTGTTTTGTTGAATTTTAGTTTCATGTTGAAGTAAAAAATATTGTTAACAAAATTATAGAAATTGTAATGCCCCGTCAATGAAGTCTATATCTTGACTGGGATGATGTTAGAAAATTTGAGAATGTAGAAGAAATAAGAAAGAAGAAAAAAATGGCTTTGAGACTCAGAAAAATATTATTTTAAAATTAATTATATGTATATGATATAATAAAATTAAAAATTTTTGAATCAAAATTAATGAAATTAATTATGTTAAAAGATTTTTATATAATAAACAAATAGTCATAAATTTTTATTTAAATAGTTATAATTATTTGAATAATTATTAAATAATTATAATTTTTATTGTATCATAAAATAATTATTTTTTTCATATAAATTTATTTAAAATAAATAAATATTAATTTATTAATATTTTTAAAATTAATAAATAAAAATTAAAAAATAAATTTATTTATCAAATAAACTCAAAGGCCCATATACTCAATTATCCTATTTTTGATTTTTAAAATTTGTTGACCCACGAAAAATATTTTTAACGTACCTAAATAATTTGATTTATTCCAACATTTAATTGAATTACTTAAATTATATAAATAATTTTTATTCAATATAAAATACATCATATTTTTATTTACCAACGGATGATATGTCCCTTTTACAAAATTTTTAACTTAATCAACTCTATATCTTGATGCTTTTTGTTCATAATTTAATACGAGTTGAGTCTCATAAAAAAAAAAAAAGTTGAATTTAATATTTGGGATAGTATTTTGATTTAGATTTGGATAAAAGAGGGAAAAAATAATAAAAAATTAAAAGAAGTCATACTAATAGTTATATCTAATTACTCGTTAATTTAATTTATAAAAGACAATGTTAAAATGAACAAATAAATTCAAGTATAGTGTTGATTTGAGTTAATAGAAAATAAAATAGTCTTCAAATTTATAGTATTTAATTTAATTTACGTTACACGTGAAATCAGCAAGAAGAAAAATCAAAATCGCCGCTAATACTTTCGTTTACTTTGACTTGGACTATCCCCAATTCCCTATTCCCAAACCTATTTTTATTCCATTAAATTAGTTTTTTGGACCCACAAAAAAATATATATATATATCGAAGGGAAAAAATATTTTTCAAATATGAAGATGGTTGAATTCATTGCCACATTGACCCACCGCGCACGTTAGTCTCCAGCACCTCCCACGATAGCCCTACGGTTTACTTTCCTTTGATTTTCCGGTTAATTTCATTTTTACTCATTCTAGGAAGAGGAAGAAGAAGATCTTCACGGTGATTTTATAATTACAAACCTGGTATTTTTCATTATATCTTTATTTCTATTTGACTCATTTTATTTTCATTATTTTGTTTTGTTTTTTTTTTGTTGATCTTGTTTTTTGAAATTGGTGGAATTTTATGATGTGGGATTTCACTTTTGGAGCTGATTATTGTACTAATGTTTGATCTTTATTATAGTCTGGTAATCTGGAATTTGCTTTTCTAGTGCAAGGTTTTTTGGATTGGAAGTAAAGGTTTCTCTTTTTCTTGTTGTATATCAGGTTTAGGGTTTGGCTGGGTGGTTGTTAGTGGAGATTGATTTGTTATGTTCTGATATTAATATGAGAATCTTGATTGCTTGAACTTTTGAGTCCAAAGTCTGAAGCTTTTGAAGTACTGCACCCTTGTGGATATCTAAGAGAATATCAACAGTGGTTCGTGGTCAGATTTTTTGCAGCTTATGTGAAGTTTTAGGTTGCTGTTGTGAAAGATTGCTAGCTGGTACTTGAGCTTCGATTTTGAGTTTCTAGGATGTTGTGTTGAAGCTTTTGAATGGTTTGACCTTTTGGGTGTTTGGAAAAAATTGGGATTAGTTTGTTGTGGTTCACTTTGCAATTTAGTTTTGTGAAATGGATAATTCGAAGAATCGGCATAATGATCATCTGGGTGTGAACAAGAGCGGTAAAAATATAAAGAAGAGCCCGTTGCATCAACCTAATTTTGCTAATAATGCAGCTAGGCAGCAGCCTCAGCCTCAGGTTTACAATATAAGCAAGAACGAATTCAGGAACATTGTTCAGCAGCTCACTGGTTCGCCTTCACAAGATCCTTTGCCCAGGCCCCCACAGAATCCTCCCAAACCCCAAAGTATTAGATTGCAGAAAATTAGGCCTCCACCATTGACACCGATCAATCGGCCCCATATTCCACCTCCAGTACCTGCCCCTGGTAATGCACCAGCTCCAGTTCCCCCTCCTGCTCCTTATAATAATATGGTTAGACCTGGTCAATATGGACAAACATCACCTACAATGTTACAACCTGTGATACCTGGAGGTGCTGTTTGGGCAAACACGGCTGAATCTCCTATCTCAGCTTATATGCGATACCTGCAGGCTTCTCTTATTGATCCTAGTCCAGTTGGAAACCAAGTGCAACCTCAACTACACCCTGCAGTTCCAGGTCAACCTTTCACTCCTCCACCATCTTCTGGTTTGCTTCCTAATCCACCATTGCGGGCTCTCCCTTCCCCAGGAGGAGTTCCCGTACCACCTATGTCTAATCTCCCTTCTCCACGAATGAATGGTCCTGTACCACCGATGCCTAATCTTCCACAACCACGGATGAATGTACCTGCCCTTTTACATTCACCAACTTCTCAGTTCCTTTTGCCATCACCTACTGGTTATATGAATTTGTTGTATCCCCGCTCGCCTTACCCTTTGCTTTCTCCCGGGGTTCAATTTCCGCCAATGACTCCCAACTTTGCTTTCTCGCCCATGGGTCAGTCAGGGATTTTAGGTCCAGGGCCTCAACCTTCGCCTTCCGCTGGTCTTATGTTTCCATTGTCACCTGGCTTTTTTCCCTTCCCAAGTCCAATGTGGAGGGACCAATAATCTAAGTTAGTACATTTTCGTTCTCATCAACTTCATGCTTGTTGAGGAATTAGGACCCCCTTCATGCAGGATCATCTCTTTCTCATGAAGGTACAATTGTGAATTTTTTTGACTTCAGTCATGTGCATACCCGTTTCACAAGTTTGCGCTTAGGCTTTGTAACAACTGTAATGCTTTTTGTATTCTTGGAAAAGTACTTAGGAAATAGTGGAGATCGGATAACTCAGTTGGACATCTCTGGACTGGAGCTGTAACGTGTAAGCAGGTAGGATCACAGGCATAAAAAATTTATAGGTAGGCAATCTAGTTGAAAAATTCTTGTGTAGTTGTACTATTGTGGATTAAATCCTAATTAATTTTAGTAAATTTTTGTTCAATTGAGTGGCATGTGGAAATAAAATATTCAACCATTCTTCATCATTTATTTTTCTCTGCTATTCAAAAGAAGGGGTCATGGTGTTGGAGTTATACTGTCTCAAATTTTGCTCAAAAAATTGCTACTAACTGCTGACACCTCGGTTCTCTAGCAAATTTCTTCTAAGCAACATTGGGTTTTTATAATTTTGTGAAGGGAGAAAATATGGTGTACATTTTTAGTTCGGTTTTTTCATAATCCCATTGGGTTTAGGTGACATTCATATCAAGCATAACGGTCCAGTGCATTAAATTTGGACTGAAGGAGGCCCAAGTAACGGGAAAAACGGACTAGTGAAGATCCTTGAAAGTAGGGGAAATGCAAAAGGCTTCTTAAATGTAATTTAAACTATGTTTGGACGGATGGTAAGGTCTCACCCGGTAGGGTTGGTAATTAAATCTGAATTTATTAGATTTTAATTTAATTTTTTAGAGATTTGTTTTAAAAAATAAGATTTCGAATTAGATTGATTTTTTTTTTTATAAATTAGGATTGGGTCGGGTTAGGTTTTAAACAAATCTGTTTTAACTTGATATATATAATTTTTTTTAATTATTTATTTAGTTATATATATTTATAATTTTTTATATTTGTATTTAAAAAATAAGATTTTATTAATTTTAAATTAAATCAATTATGATTTTATATATATATATATATATGCAGATTAAATTGGATTCAAATATAAAAATAATATTTTAATATTAAATTAAATCAAATCAAATTTAAACATTAAATATATAAAATCAAATTAGATTAAAAAAAAATAAAAACTAGTCTCGGACCCGACACCATCTCTACTCACCGTAACGAATTTCTGATGTATTCCCACTGAAAAAAGAGTCTGATTGCGTATCACATTGGCCATTCAAAGTTCAAACATAATTTAATGTTAACTAAATATTCAGTTGAAAACATGAATTAAATAGGGAGAAAAAAAGCGCTTAGAATAGCGTGGCACCCATCAAAATCCATAGACGATGGAGGGTATAGTGTGATTAGAATATTTTGGGCCTATGAAATTGAAGGCCTTTTTGTGGCCACCACTTTTCCCACGAAAGAACCAATTATTAACCAAAGAAAATGCCTCAAAACGAGGCAGAGATTCTTTGACAATCGACGAAACCTTTATTTTCCTTTCTAAAGCTGCTCCTTGTAGCTTCTATACAACACAAAATCTTCCTTTCTTTAATAGTCAAGTTGGCCACTTGCATCCTCGCTAAATTGGCCTTTCGCCTACCAAAAAGAGGCAAGTCGTTTTCCATAGACTTTGTTGACAAATTGCGGGCTGATGCTCCTTCACGTGGTTTAGATTATCAAAATACAAAAAAAATGCCCCCACCAAATTCGTGATCATCATCTAAAGTTGATTGACCATTAAAAAATATTCATGTTTTAAAGTTACAATATTATTCCATCATGATTTCAACCCTTTTTGGCGTCTTAAGTCCTTTCCATTTGGGAAATCACTGTTCAACTCCAAGGGAATTCCCAATTCTCCCCACTAATTTTTATCCTGATTCTAATTCTATGTATAGTTTTTAGGGTTTGTCTATGATTTCAATTTTTTATTTGTATAAAAGAGATCAAAGCCTAAAAAAAATTTAGAAGTGTTGAAAATTGAAATTTAATCTTACAAAATTTTTTCTTAAATGAGATTAATTAAAAAAGATGGATAAATTATTCAAGTTTAATTTAGATGTAATTACATTTTCAGTGAGATACAGTTAGCAATCATAAAAGTTACTTTTGTTTTCAAATGTGTTGTCAATGAGGTGAGATTGAACCAACCACACCTCCATCTTGCCATTGGACCTTTTAGGCTCGGTAAAAAAATTTTCTTCCAATCGCAGCTTTATCTTTCAACTTTACCCATATATATATATTTTTTACCCTTACATATTGCATAGACTTTTTGCCACTTACTCTTTTCTTTTCTTTTTTTTTTTTCATTTTATTTTGTTACTTAAAAAATTTTAAATAACTTTGTTAATTCAATGTAATAAATATATTTTATTATAATAAATTAATAATTAAATAAATATTTTGATAATTAAATAATTTCATACATAATAAATAATAAAGTAAATAAACATTATTAATTTTTAATTTAATGAGTAAATAACTTTAATCTAAATTATTATTTTCAAAATTTGAATAAATTCATTATATTTAACTTTAATTTAATGTTTGTAATGGTTATTTTCATTTTTTCTTTTTATATTTCACTTCACTACCATCTTTTTTTTTTTTTTGCATCAAACACATATTTCGTTATTGATTTTAATATTATTGCTATAGTAACAAACTTTACTACTATAGTAATCAATTTCAACTTTATTCGTTATTTTTAATTTCACTAAAGCCAATTGTATCGACCATCTAAACAAACTCTTAGATTAAATCCAAGGTTCATATATGATTCCAGTTTTGTTATAGCCGCATACATTAACCTTAGGTGCTCAAGAATTTCCAAAGAATTATAATAGGATTGATTTTGATTTTGGTTAAAATTATTATTATGTTCAAAAGATCTTTTTTCAATGCATTGAAACTTTTACGTTAACTATCAACTATTGCATTTACTATAAATATAATATTATAAACACTTTCATCCTAGGTAAGTAGCACAGCTGCATTAATTGCCCTGCATTTTCCTTTTTAATCATTTTTGTGCAACTGTATGACAATGAAGCCATATCTACCTCAAGAAGAACTCTTTATTGATTGATCAAATAGTCAACATGCTATGAAAATATATAGAAAGCTATAAACCGGCCTAGGGTTTTTCCACAAACAATGTATCCATCTCTCTCAAGCATCAAAAGCTACAGTTACTTAGATTTAAGCCAATATTCTATACTAATTTCCCTTGCATATACAAATGAAACCCAAACTTGTGTTTGCCATAGTTTCCAAGTTTTCTTATTTAGTTATGCTGCGAAGATCGATGTCTCTGCTGAATCAGTATATCAACTCGCACCATCCTTCACATTGGCCATGTCTAAGTGATAATGGCTACATACATAAATAGGGCTTTGTCTTTAACCAAAAAAGAAAGAAAGAAAGAAGGAAAGTAATTAAAGCAGCGAACCATTGATCACCTCAGCAAGCTAAATTATCAAACCTTTAATTAATTGTAACCCTGCACTCACCCATGACCCACCAGGGACACAACAAATAACCTTTAAAGGATATGGAAGGAACATGGCTAAGTCGTCATATCGAGTTACAGAAGAATGGGTAGACCTTAGAAAATGGAAAAAGAAAATAGTAAAATAAACGAGACCTGAGGCATGCATCGCATTGTTCTTGTACAAGATTAGTTGAATTTTAGGTGCCGCCATTGTGAAAGATAAAACTCATTTTACATCTTCATTAATGATCGGAGTCAACCCTACCTCTGCCTTCCTTTCCATTGCTCTTGAATTTTTTCTTATCTTTCTATCTACAAACCCACGTGGCTGAATGTCATGGCTACATTTATATTATTCATGGATATTCCACCACTGCACCTAACATATTTTCTTACTGATAAATTCCATCCAATGCCTAAATGTGAAAACTCAGCAACAACATGGAGACCATGACCGTTTTGCTTAAAAAGTCATGGCCCAAATATAATATAATAAAAATATATATATATATATATATGTATGTATGTATGTATGATCTTGAATTACAATCCAATAATGTAAGAGCCGGTATGCATAAAATAAACTACAATGCCAGGAGAAACCCCACCAACAGCAATGAGGCGACGACAAACTCTTGTTAGTAATGAACTATGCATGATTGTGATCGGACGGTCCATATCATTTGTAGAAACATTGTAGTGTCAATGCTGGTAAAAAGAAACCCTTTCCAAATAAAAAGGGGGGGCGGGGGCGGGGCAAGACCTTTCGGCAAAACAAAATAAGAAGATTTTTTTAAAAACTTTTATAGCTTAATATAAAATATGGGGCTGGACGAACTTACCAGAAACTAGCCCTTTTTTCTGTGTTTCTTAGCCTCCCAAGAAATTCCACCATACTTTACCTAACCTAACTGTTGTACTACTCTCTGCACCCTTTTTTTCCTTTCACTTTCTCTGTAGATTAATTCTTGATCTGGAAAAATGCAATCCCACCTGACGCAACCGGTTGTTCATTGCTCTCTTCTCAAACGGGGACCATTAGCCAAATAACTAGCCATTGTCCCCCCCATCCCCCCCACCCCACCCCTTTCATAGCCAGTCTTTCATTCAAGTAGAGTATCTCATTGATTGTGCCTGGTTCATAGCGAAACATGAAATTGTAGGGTAGGGGCCTTATATCTCACTTCTTTTTTTTTTAGCGGGGGTTTGGATTCCATCCCATTTTCAATATAATGCAGTTAAGCTTATCCCATTATAAGTTAAATTTAAATTTAAATTTTAATGAGATTTATTTAATATAAATTTTTATATAATTTCTTTAAATCATAATTACAGTAATTATTATTATTATTATTATTTTTAATCCTATTAAAATTAATCTTATTGTCTATTTAAATAAATATTTTGAAGAGTAAAAAGGAGATGAAAGCAAATAACCTAATGCTAAAAAAGCATGAAGTTCTTAGCCATTATTAGGTTTAACATTATCAATTACACTTACATTTTTCAACATAATCAAAGGATTATATTCTACCATATTTCTTACCATACCCCACTTTCATTCAGTAGAAAAGAAAAAGAGCATTGTCTTTTTTTTTTTGGCCAATAGAAAAGAGCAGTAGGAACCATGTACAGTCACTTATGAACATGGGTTATGTTATTACACATTGTGAATAGTAGACTCTTGAGATTTTGAAGGGGAAAGTCAAAAGCACATATTCGACAAAAACGATACTGGATGGAGGGAGCTGATAGCCTTTGTCTTAATTCAAGGTATTTGAAAAAACAAAAGGAAAAAAATATAAAAATATTGTCAAGTAGAGATTCTTAGCCAACCATTGCTTCTTTAATCCCCACTTTACACAACATTAGTGCTTATTAAATTTTAATATTGGTTCAACTGGAAACATTTATGTACAAAGGCATCGACTCAAACGGCCTTTCCATGCTTGTCCACAGTCCACACCAACATCCCAGTAGTCAATCTATTCACAATGAGGATTTTTCGGTAATTTCACAAAAAAAAACCAAGAACATTAAAATTAGAAAAAAATTACAAAATCCCACAACGAAAGAAAGAGAGAGTGAACAAACAAAGAAGAAAGGGGCAATATTTTTTTCATTCTTTTTTTTTGTGTTTACTTTTTCACATCACCTGTGATTTTTTACCGTCACCATCACGCGCTAACCCTTCGGTGACGGACGCCAGCTTTTGCAAGTTCAACTTGACAACGGTATCAGCAAACAGCCGCGTGTCTTCCTCCGTGTTCCCTTCCGGAGCATCAACAACGTAAGATTCCAGAACGATGGTCCAGATCCTCCCGTCACGCTCGAAACCATGCACCGTCGTCACCGACCGGTAATTCCTCAACCGATGCTCACCTCCAGTGATACTAAAACCGGTGACCTGTCGCTCCTCATCTAAAATATCGAGTTTTTCGGTGCTAGTGGCAGCCGGTAACCCGGAGATCACGTTGACTTCACGCGTGCAACCCACGACCATTTGGAAACCTTCTTCGACGGCACAGCTTTTGATGAAGTGTTTGTAAGTTTGGGGTTTGTCGAAACGGCGGACGACGGACCAAACGACGTCGTGTGGGGCGTTGATACGTTGGGCTAGTAAGGAAGAACATTTGCCTGGACCCACTGAGTAGGTGTGGAACTGAGTGATGGAAGGGATTAACTCTAAGAACTCGTCGTGGGTTAAGCCGGGAAGGCTGGTGAGTTGGTGGGTGGTGGGTTCGGAGTCGGGTGGTTGATCGGGCATTGAAGAGGAAGGTTCGGATTTTGGATCTGCCATTGAGGATTGAAGAGGGAAGAGTAAGACAATAGGAGGGGTTTATTGGGGGCTTATACGGGACAGGGAATATGGGGGATGTTGGCGGGTAAAATAGGAATTGAGAAACTAATAATTTTTTTTAAAATATATATATATATATATAGTAAACAAGTAATAATTTTTAAATACAACATAATAATATAATAATAAATAAAAAATTACGACTTAAACTTTTAATAAAAAAATTATATATATTTAATAAAAATTAAAAAATATCTTTTTTATATTTAACGTATTTTTATAATATAATAATTTTATATTTTATATATTTTTTAAAAATAAATATTATATATATTATATATACATATAATTAATTAAAAAATTACAAATGATTATAATTTAAAACTTGAACGTAAAACATTTGTATTTGAATCTTTATGATATTTTATTAATAAGTGATTTATAAGTTTCAAAATTTAAAAAAAAAATTATAAATTTTTTTATAAGTTGATGATTTATCTTAATTTTAGAGATAAAATAATTTCTTTTATTCTTAAATTTTTTTATATAAAAAAATAGTTTGCAAAACGAGAACTATAATAATTATAGTATAATTAATTATAATTTAAAGTTATGTAAATTTTATATTTATAAATAATAAATTTTTATATAATTTTTTTATATTAAATAATTATTAAAAAATTATAAATGATACTCTTCCCATCGTATGGCTCTGTGTAAATTTTGTAAATCACTTGTAGTCGTAAATTTTGTGTTGCGAAAGTTGTTGAAAACAATGGGATGACAGTATATGGAAAAGGCAGCCGCCAGAGACAACTGACAGATTTCGACTGTTATATGTCCAATTTCAAGTTTAATTATTAATTAAAACGGAAATTTGCATATTTGTTATTATCAATGTTGTTTTCCATTGGGCTGATTTTCTTTGTTGGCTGCTTCTTTATATTGTACTATCAAAGTCACTTCATATGACATCAAACAAATTGCTTTTCTAAACCACAATATGAATTTTTCTAACAATGTTTATTTTTATTAAATTCAATCAATTTTAATTAATTAAATTAATTATATTCACTCTTAATACTTGCTCAAAATTTGCTATCTCTTCACTTTCTGAATTTGACATAACATGACCCCCAAAGAATTATTTGATTAATTAATTCATAATTATTCACCATAAGTGGGTGAGAGAAATTAAATTAAAGGAGTCCATGTCATTCCACTGTAATCCAGCAAAGCAAACCAAAGCCTTCATAATTTGTTTATATCCATAAACCTCCGTGCATTTTCTATTTCCAAAAAAAAAAAAAGAACTATATGCTTTTTTATTATTATTATTAAAGGGGCTTTTATTATTGGCCATTACTTTCCAACGACAGTAGTGTAAAAAAAATTACGAGGAGAATGTGAGAGATTAGTGCGTTAGTTCCGTTGATGAGACAGTTGAATTTTTCATTTGTTTTTGATAATTTATATACGTGTATCATATAAAATATTAAAATTTATATATTAATTTTATATTTTAAATAAAAATTATATATTATAATTTATATCAATATAAGACTATAAAATATATATTTTACTTTGTTAAATTAATATATAATTATTAAAATTTTAAATCGTATCATTTATATATATATTTTTATTATATTTATATCGTATTATTATATCATATTTTTTATTATTAAATCTATTCGATTCCATCAATTTGTTTTATCTTTATCATATTATAACTAAAAATGAGCAACTAGGCAAATAATTTAGGCTTGGCATAGTGGTTTTTATCCTCACATTAAAGGCCAAGGTCTAAGAACTAATTGACACGCTTTTGTCTTGAACAAAAAAATAAAATAAAATAATGGCTGGGTTTTGAGGCTTGCAATTTACTGATCAAGCCAGTAGCATCCCCAAGTTCTTTTATTAATGGGTGGAAAAAAAGATCATGGTCCTTATGCTTGTCTTCTTGCAATTTATATTGCTATTTCACTTCTAGCATGGGGAAGGTTCAATTTCACTATGAGAGAAGCCTACAAGATCATCTTAATTGTAATTTCCATTGCAACCCTGGCATATATAGTTGAGATTATGGCAACTAACAGGACAAAATTGATTAGAGAATTGAAATTGACATGTCCAAAATGTCATTGGAAAGAAAAATTAATCCAATATTGTCCAATGTGACCACTTTGGAGATACCTTCTTCCCACTTTTGCTTATTTTCTCTTTCTTGCTGCTCTTTTGGTACCCAAATTGTTGCTTGAGAGGATTTGGATCTTTCTTGTTTTGTAGCATTGTTTCAGATTCTTCCTGTCCAGAAAATGCCAATTGAATCAAATAGCAGATCATATATGTTTCGTGACATACAAAAATCAATAGTGCAGTACTTCCTATTAAAATTTTATTATGAAGAGAAATTGAATACAAGGAAAATTGAGATAAAGAAGTCAAATACAGGTAGAAATGTTTATATTGATGGCATAAGTGTATGACTATTTGGTCCTTTGGATATTTCTGAACTCCTTGTGGAAATACCTGATCTGTATCATATGATAAATTAGGAATCAGCTAGCTCACTTTGGCCAAACAAGAGTTTATGAAGACGAACCAAAATGTAGACACAAATAATGTAAACCAAATCATCATTGATGATCAACGAAAGAAGGAAAATATGAGGGAAATTATTTGCAGATAGCTTTAATAGAAAAATAACTTAAATAAATTTTGCTTATACTCTCGAAGTGTAAAAAAATTTATCAACCAACAATGGTTAATAATGTTGCATCAATTCATCAAGACAGCATATGAAAGTTCTGAACACTTAATTTTGTGGTCCAAAGTGACTGTATATTATGATGAGCTAAATTAGTGGGATGTCAAGGTTCTTAATGAGCTTGCTTAACAATGATTAATACCAATAGTTTTATTTTTGTCTTTATCGGTGCAAGGAGTGGGATGTCAAGGTTCTTAATGAGCTTGCTTAACAATGATTAATACCAATAGTTTTATTTTTGTCTTTATCGGTGCAAGGAGAATATTGGGGAAATAAATTACCTGAATTTCAGACCAGGTAAACAGGACCTGATGCGATGCCTGTTTGTGAGCTTGACTTGAGTTGGTGAAAGTTGGTAATGAGCGAGATATTGGCTTCCCTCTGGATCCTAGGCTGCTGGAAGATGCACAACCAGATGTTGATGTTGAAATGCTAGATGTGTTACTAGATTCCAGCTCCAAGCATAGCTACAACAAGAAGAAGAAAATAGGCAAGAGTTTGTATAAGTTTATGATGTTAAAATGCATGTATCTCAGTTGCTGTAATTATTCTTTGCTAGTGATAAAAAAGGGGGAAAATAATTGTAACATTGTCTTCTGGTACCTATTTTCATTCTGAAGAGTAAAAATCTACTACATGACATGGAAAGACAATTATAAATAATAATTCACTCACTATGCTGCAATTTGCTGTGATCTGAGAATGAGTTCTAGCCAGTAGCCACTGTGTTTAAGCAAGCATATATGTTGATTGAACATATTAACTACAAAGAAAACGGTTAAAGGGAGGTACTTTATCAAGAAGGAAGGACCCTGGATTGACTTGAATCTTTGCTTAAATGAACTTGATCTTATGTTGCTTTCAGGAGTCGACGAGTGCTTAAAGAAATGAGTAAAAGTGGGGTCAAGGCTTGGTGATAACTTTTGTAAAAAAATATATATATCATAGCATAAAAAGGCCAATCAAATTATCAAATTTTCTATTCATCCCTGTCAAAATCCCAATTTCATATGAGATTAAGCCGCAATTTTAGAATGATTTACCAAGCTTTGTGGCATGAATGACGAAAATCATCTTTGAAAGCTTGGAACGACGTTGAATACTTTTGTGCCTAAATAATTGATTCAACATGCATAAAATCTCAATAACTGTTTTTCCTTTTTATCTCACCACACTGTTTTTTTGTTTCTTTTTTCTTTGAAAACCATTGCCTGAAAAAGTCTATATATGTTCGACAGGTGTAACCCTATCCAACAACGACCCTTTGAAGAAAGCTTCCCTCGTTGATAAATCTAATTGCATGCATTCTTTTCCATTCCTTTCTGCAACCTTCGTTTTCCTTCTAAATACTTCATCTGTGTGAAAAAAAGGATAGATAAAAAGAAAAGCAAAGCATAAATTCGAAGCCAAATTAACTTTTGGTACGTTATATATGATAGAGGGAGAGACTCACAATGAAATCTAAATGATTCAATGGTTCCAACCTGGAAACAAGAGGTTTTGAGGAGTGAGATCTTCCACTTTCCATATCTTTTATTCTTTGGGTGTGTAAGATTTGGGTTTTGGGTTTAGATCATTGAATAAGTGCTGTGCTTTTCACGTAGAGCTATGAAGTCTGAAACAGTTACATCCTTCGTTTCCTGTCAGGTGTCGGCCTATTGATTTTGCCCGCCAAGTCAAGCGCTTGTTCGTTACACTTGCACACCGTTTTATGCTCCATCTGCCTATTTCAATGGATTCTTCTGACCCAAAATGAAACTTGGTCAAACATTTTCGCTTGGAGACACAAACCCATATTATGTAAGCATGGCCACATGTATTCGCACGGGCTGGGTTTCTTGTGAGCTTTCTTTTGGGCCAGATTTGCAAGAGCAATGGCTTAGGCTAGGTTGTACTATTGACCCCCCCGACCCACAAAAAGGAGAAAAAAAAAAAAAAAGAGGCTCACGCCTTATATATGTGCAATGGAATCATCGGCAAATTCCTTTAAGGAAAATAAATACTTCAGCAAGGAGTAAATTTAAATATGGGTAATTCATGAAAGAATGTTGTTTTTTTCCAGTCAATGGAAGTAACAGAAATCTTGAAGAATGGAGACCCAGTCACCATATTGCCAAAACTTCGTTCAAGCATTATAATTTGTTGACAGAGAAAATGCCTTTGGTAAAAGCAATATGATTAACAATGGCAAACTTTTATCAATTCTTGGTGTGGAATCACAGTGCAACAATAATTGATTAGCCCAAACTAGATCTTGTCACTTCGTATGCCAAGAAGCATGCTGCATTAGCAGGGACACTTCGTGCCATGGCAGGACCGAACCCTTTGTACAGGCCTTTCACCCCCTCGGAAGCTAATATCCTCCTGAAGGCATTTATGGAGCCAGTGTATTTGGGATTTTTGTAATCGTCTACCTGGATCACACTCTTGACGACATCAGTTGGGTAGACAGAGAACCAGAATGAAGCTCCAGCCAAGCCTCCAGCCACAATCAAAGAGCCTCTTCCTAATTTGGAAGTGTCTCGCCCTCCGGCCATGTACTGCTTCAGTGCTTCATAGACACCAAACATAGCAGCATTTCCAGGAACCTCACGCGCCAAGGTGGGAACCAATCCCTTGAAGAGACCCCTTATGCCACCTTCTAACCTGAGAACATGCCCGGCTACATCGATCGGCCCTCCATACTTCACAGCCACACCTGCTGAGGCAGAATCTGCCAATGCACTCTGGGCTTGCAATCTGCTTATACCAAAAGAACCAAGAAGTAATTAGGAGGTTTGAGGGCGTTATGAGTTAGTTATCCTATCCAAATGACAAAGTGAAAAATTATTTACAAAAATTCTTTAGCACTCCATACATCCAGGTTGTGCAGACTAAAAGAAGTCAAGAATTTACTTTAAAATGTTAACAAAAAAAAAAAAAGATCATAAGATAATATAACTATAAATTGATAGGAAAATCGAATAGGAAAAGCCATGATGCCGACCTGCATTTGATCAACTCAGTGGGGCAAGCTAAGAATGAAACAGCAACTCCAGCCCCAGCGCCGCAAACGACCTGCTGGTTGACTGTGAGGGGGGCACCAGGTTCTGATCTCAACAAGGCCTCCATTTGCCCTCTCACTGTAAAAAGGACAGCATTAAAGGCTGCCACAGTGGCAAGTGGAGCCCCCATACCCTTATACAAACCCCTTGGGCCTTCAGCAGCTAAAGTTTGTTTGACAGCATCCATAGCACCAGCATACTTGGGTAGTTGCCCAGGGAGTGGAGCAGGCTGGCTTTGAAGCTTAACCTTGATGGTATCAAAAGGGTGCCCAACTATCAACTGTGCTGCTCCACCAACAGTCCCAGATGTTAAGTCCTTAGCTACGTCTCCCATCTGCAGAAGTTAAACATGCAGTAAAACAATTCTCCATCTTAAAAATGGTGAACAGCTTAAACTAGCAAACTAACACACATAATCAAATCTCATTCTCCATCTTAAAAAATGAGATTATCCGTTTAACTTGATGCATAAATTGCTTTGGCTTGAGCGACAGAGGAGGCGACCCATTTGAGCTAAGGTTTGACAGTAGCTGATAGTAGATCAATTTTAGACATGGTAACTACTTGAAGTAAACAAAGGCAGTGAGATTATTGAACGAAAAGCAATTGATTAAATTTTAAAATGTCATAGTTTCGAATATGGTGGTTCTGATAGCAGGAATATGGTTCAATATAGAAGCCAATTTTGAGATATTATACTACAAAATATAAGAAAAAGTAGAGAAGCTCAAGTCAAGCAAGAAGGGGGTTAAGAAACTCAAGAACTAAGCTCAACCATCAATTTATTAATATCAAAATCTAATTCCAAACTTTTGCTCATATTTTTTACAAACATAAACAAAGTATTGAAATATCTCAAGCTCTTAACTGCAAAATGATAATTTAAGAGGAAAAAAAAGTTCCCTTATCATATTTAGAAACCAATGACAATATTAAAGGAGACTTGGGCAAGAAAAGTAAGCATAAGCCACACTTAAGGGGTTAAAACGACAAAATCATCAGAGAAAGTTGTAAGCCAGCGATATTGGTCTTCATCAAAAGCACAACCTTTTGAAGCAAAGTACATCAAAGAATCCATATATACTGTAACTTCGAATCCCAAAGGCTTCAGCTACAAGTCCAAAGCTTAATCTTTAACACCATTTTAGAAGTGGTGTTTTATATTAAAAGAAACGCATTTCAATCAAAGTTACCAAACAAGAGACAGTTCCCAAAATGGGAACTTGAAAAGAAAAAGATTATGACAAATAGATGAAATTTAGACACAACTGAGTTCAAAAGCAGAACTTGAAAGAGTTGCAACATATACATGAAATACTAAAACAGTCTCAGAAAACCAAATGGCTGTCACATTTACATTCCGCATATTCCACAAGAACTAGGAATCTTACCTTAGAAAAGCAATACAATGAAAAAGAATCGAATTCGATAGAGAGTTAAGTCCCAACGCAAGTGATCAAATCTGATTAAAAGAAATAGAAAACCCATTAATAAGATCCAAAAATATTTCTGTAAAGTTCACTAATGAACCAAAAAACAGATTCAGAGCAAAATACTACCAGAAAGTGACAGAGCATTTCCTAGAAAAAGCCCCCTAAAAATTCCTTTTTTTGTAGGGGTGTGTTCGGTGAGGCTTTTTTTTAATGGGTGTTTTGGGGGTGAGAGACTGATGAGAGAATCCAGGGAAAAAGAAAAAGAAAAACGTGAAGTGAATGTTTGGGTGTGATTGAGAGCCACAAGAGAGTTGTTGGGTTAGGACTTAGGAGCTTGAATGACAAAGGAACGACCAACCACTCTGGTGAAGAGGGGTTTCACACAAGAAACAGAAACAAGGCAATTGTGGTTGTGATGGGATTGTTTCTATTGGTTTTGAGATGTGGACAGAATTGTGGATTTACAAGCAGAGGCCAAGAACGTTCAGTCTCTCTTTTTGTATTTGGTGAATGGTGACTTGGAATCAAACATGGCAGTACATATATAACTGAGAAAAAATAGAAAGAGAGCCCTTCGTTCTCTCCCATATAATAGGGTGATACCTGATACAGCGCTGCTATTTCCTTTCGCATTTGTTGTTTGTCAGGAGTCTAACGAGTCGAGTCGATATAACAAAAAAATTTAAATTTAAGTTTAATTCTTAATTTATGATTTGAAATTTGATTTAAATTTGATCGAATTTTATTTTTTTAATTTAAATTTAATTCGTGATTGAAATTAAATTATTCGAGTTCGTTTGATTAAGTTCGATTAATATATAAAAATAAACTGATTCTTATATTTAATAAGAGCTCAATTATTTATACTCGAACTCAAACTCGAGATATTTTATTAATTAAAATAATAAAAATATTTAAATATAAAAATTTAATTAGACTTGCGAGCTATTCAAACCGAATATAAAAATACTCAAACTCGATTCAATCGATGAATCAAATTATACGAATTCAAACTCGATTCGATAATAATCAAATTAAATTCGAATAATTTATAAATACTAATATATCATTTATATTTTTATTTGTCAATACACTTTTTTTTGGTCCCACTGCCTGCACAGTACTTAGTATATGATTAAGGAATTGGCCTTTCGATTCATCAAGTGGGCCAGCTTCAGCAATTTCATGATTTTTTTTTTTTTTTGGTTTCATTTTGTGGTGAATTATCTTTCTATTCCATCATATCAAGAATTCATTTTGATTCATTTTTTGAAGATCAGAATTTTAGTTTGAATTGTCTAAATCTAGTCAATTCCGTGTTTAAACGTAGAGTTGATGATATTAGACCAAATTATCAAATTTACTAGTTTTAGGTGTGTAATGGTTGTTATTGGATGATTAAAAAATGTTCATTGCCCAAAAGCCAAGCAGGCTCTCATTCATGCATCTCCTGGCATACCCTGCATGCCCCTGTTTAGAAGGGTGGGAATGGATCAATATTTTGTATTAATCAAAGTTTTTCTTTATTTAACTAACAATCATCTTACTGGGTTGGAAATTGAATGATATTATACATAGGAAGTTGAGTTAACACTATAGGTACATATCCCACCTGCTCCGCCTGGTCCTCCGAAGGTAAAAGTTTGTCCAAGAGGACCTCCTTCACTGAAATAATTCAGGTTATAACACAACGGTGAATCTACGAACTTGGCCATATCATTGGGGTCAACATCGCTCAGATTGTACCCAAATCTCGCATATCCAATATTTGTGAAGTAACAGGCTTTAAACTCGTGATTAGATGGACGGATCCCATTTCCCATGGCAGGACTTGCTCCCTCTGGCGATTGCTTTGTCGCCCCACCAAACTGAACCTTAAGAGCTCCCACACCTAACTCATTGAAAAGCTCTCTTGCCCAATATCTCATGTCATAACGTCTAGATTCAAAGATTTATAGTTAAACATTAATTTTTAAGAAGTCGTCACCAATCTTTTTTATCTAAATACAATTAATCACTTAAAGAATCTGTCCTTTCAGAGAACATCTAAGTTCAAGGTTCTCTAAAAGAATAGGTTCAGGTTTTTTAACCAGAACAGGGTTCGGAAGTTCGGTTACGTGTGAGGAAGGTTATAACACCCTCACAACGCCCATCAAAAGATGGTACCAGCTTAAATTTGTGTTATCCAATGAGCCTTAAAATTTTATCGAGTAATTAATTATTAAAAATTATTCTCAATTGACTCTAATACTTTTAACAGAAAATTGAAAAAATTCCCTCACCTCAAGAGTATGCAAAAAAAACTACTGTTTCACTTGTAGAGGCTCCGTCGTCGGATTATTTAACATAAAAAAAAAGGAATAAAAAAATGATTATTTTTTTTGTGCAGAGAAAATTGATACTTTCAACTTTTTCCAAAAATATTCTTTTGAAACTTTAATTTCAAGGAAAATTGATACTTTCAACTTTTCCTCAAAAATTTATTTTTTTGAAAATTTATTAAGAAAAATTGATACTTTCAATTTTTCCTCAAAAATATTTTTTTGGAAACCTTGATTTTTAAGGAAAATTGATACTTTCAACTTTTCCTCAAAAACCCCTTTTTGAAAATTTATTTTTAAGAAAAATTGATACTTGCAATTTTTTCTCAAAAATATTTTTTGAAAACTTTGATTTTCAAGGAAAATTAATACTTTCAACTTTTCCTCAAAAAACTTTTTTTTTGAAAATTTATTTTTAAGGAAAATTGATACTTTCAACTTTTCTCCAAAAATATTTTTTTTTATTTTTATTTAAAGAAAATAGAATAATAAAACAAAATAAAAGTGAAAACAAATAAAAATAAAAAATAAAATAAAATAAAGAAAAAAAAGTAAAACAAAAATAAAAATAAAATAAAGATAAAAAGAATATTAAATAAATCTAATCTAATAAATAAAAAAAATAAAAAAACACAAATAAACAAATAAATAAATAAATTCAAAAAAAAAAACTGGAGCGGCTCGGAGTACGGCTTGGCTCGGCTCAAGAAAGAGAAAATGGCTCGAAAAAACGGCTTGGGACCTAGGCTCGGCTCGGAAGGGGAGACACGCGCGGGTCAGGAAGCGGGTTGACGCTCGGGTCGGGTCGAATCTCGATAAAACGCGCGGATCCTCTGGGTCACTTAAGGCAAAAACGACCTCATTTTGGGAGGGTATGTAAGGTTTTTTTCCTCTGTTTTTCGATAGAAACCTTTTTCCCTCTCTCTCTCTTCTTTTTTTTTCCTCTTGTTTCTCTTTAAAAGGTCGAAGAACTCCGGTTGAATGTTCACCGGATTCTGGATTTTTTCACCGGTATCTGGGTTTTTCACCGAAAGTTCATCGAAAAGTTGGTCTGTTTCTAGGATCTTTCATCGAAAACTGGGCAGCTCGTCAAAAATTTCAAAGTTGGTCGGAATCGTTGTCGAAAAATTCAACATTCGTCGGAAAAATCACCGGAATCTGAAAATTTTTCAGAAATTTCCAGAAAAATTTTTGCCAAAAATCTCTAAAAAATTATTTTCAATTCCCACAGCTATTTTAACACTTCTCAACCTTCTTTTAGCCTTCAAAAACTCTTCTATACGCCTCTTTTCTCTCAAATCAATAGCTTTTTACTCACTGTTTTTCTGTGTCTTCTGTTCTGTTCCAGATGATCCCTTTTATAGGATTGATCAGAAGAATTTTTGATCAATCCCAATTTATCTTTGGATCGAGATTCAATCATTGAATCCAACATGGACTCTTCTGATGGAATCCCAATTCAATTTTCAGCCAGATAAATCAAAAAAATAAAAGAAAAAATCAAACGAAAATAAATCAGATAAATCAAAAAAATTAACAGATAAATTAAGATTAAATAACAGATAATTACATAAATATTAACAGAAAAAAAAAGAAGAAAAAAAAATAATAAAGATATATACATATTAATAAATACATAAATACCTAAGATAAAAAATAATAATAAAAGAAAAGAAAAAAATATATACATATATAAAATAATAATAAAAATAAAAATAAAACAAAAATGTAAAATACAAAAAATAAAAATAAAATGAAGAAAGAAAAAAAATATATAAACTTACACATTTGGACCAGGCCCAATTGATTCGGGCCTGGACCAAATTGGGTGTCTACAGCTGCTTCTCTTTGCACATTTTTTGTGAAACAGAAATTACGCAAAGACGTAGACATCCAATCAAGACTCAACTTGACTTTTTCACTTTTTGTTTTTTTTTTGTTTTTAATCAAAGCTCCTATAGGCAAAGGCTCAATGACTTTGAGAACATAAATGGCTCCTCTAATCAAAAGCTTAACAACTTTGAAAAAAATAAATTGCTTCTCTAAACAAAGGCACCACGACTTTGAAAAGTAAATTACTCCTCCAAATAGAGGCACCACGACTTTTAAAAAGTAAATTGCTCATCTAAACAGAGGCACCGCGACTTTTAAAAAGTAAATTGCTCTTCTAAGCAGAGGCACCATGACTTTGGAAAATAAATTGCTCCTCTAAATAGAGGCACCACAACTTTTGGAAAGTAAATTTCTCCTCTAAACAGAAGCACCACGACTTTTGGAAAGTAAATTTCTCCTCTAAACAGAAGCACCAAGACTTTGAAAAGTAAATTGCTCCTCTAAACAGAGGCACCACAACTTTGGAAAGTAAATTACTCCTTGACAATCATGTCCAAAGTAGTTGAAAGTTGTGTTTGAAGGAATTTCAGGAGATTATACCCAAAGGTCTTATAAATCAACCCTGATATCAAAAGACATCCTATTTCAAGGATTAGAAACTTACCTGACAAGTTTCTTTTCAAATTTGCAAAATATCTTCATATCTGTCTTCTCTATATGGGATCTTGAAACACCCCTGCTTCTTGAATTTATACACTATATTTTCCTGAAAGTAGTGTATGCTATACAATGCATATGAATTTCAATGCATGCTATGCAAATGTTGGCCAATTAATTCCTATTCAATGTATGGTACTCAAGTTTCTCAAGCTTTTTTTTGGGCATCAAGCCTTTTGATTCTTCAAAGATCCAATTACACTGCTCTTCTAAGATCGAACTAGTGTAGCTCTCATTATCTTTTCCACTCACATTCTTCCTTATTTAGTTTCTCAATACTTTGGAATAAGCTTCATCAATCGATCATCACTTGACCATCATTCAATGAATTTCTCAGCACTAACAAATTTCAAAACAAGTTTCATCCATCATCACTGGGTCATTACTCATAGGTGTCTCAGCATTAACCATTCCAAACAAACTTTGTCCACTGATTGTTCTCATCATTCAATCATAACTTGCAAGTTATATCGACCAATTCATCCTTGTACTCAGCACTTGGTTATACCACTTTTCAAGATTTGCCCCATTATATTTTTTATTTGATCACATCATATATCTTTCCAAATCATCTCTTTTAGGTTTCTACCATTTCTTTATTTTGTTACCACCATCATCTTAGATTTCTTTGTAAGATTCTTTTAAACACATATTCATTCATTCATTATCATTTCAAATCTTGACAAATACAATGCAATCAAGCATTTTTTTCAATTCATTGTAGGGGTGAAACAATAAGAGAACACAAGGTGAATTATGGTAAAGATAATCAATGAAGATCTGTTTTGGTACAAAGCAAATGGGAAAAGAAATAAATTGGATACATGTCATTGGGATGGATGATATGTCTAAATGATGAATATTCAAACAATTCTCAACATTAATCTAGGATTCTTTTTCAAAAACTCATTCCATTTACTGTTGAAGTCATCTTGAGCTTGGTGAACTTTGCCCCAGTCTTTGAGGGATCTTTAGATGTCTTTGATCTTTCATTCATGTGAGCCATTTGACCTTGATCTTTTTTTTTCTACCAAAATCACCCTTTTAGGTTTTCAATTTGAATCTCTTTTTTCATTTTCTCATTTTTTCCTTCTTTTTTTTTCTTTTTTTTTTCTTTTTTTTTTCATTATCTTTTTTTTTTCATTTTTCATCCATTATTGATATCTTTCATACATCAAACTTTAGAGTAATGGAGCATGATTCCATTGCTTCATCATGAGCATACCTTTGCTCAACATGTGATCATTCAAGTTGAGTATTCACACTTCATCCAAATAGACTTTTCAAGGTTGTAATGTAGGCCAAGGTGAAGGGTCATAAAAAAATAGATATAATAGGCTCAAAACATGTATTAAAAAGGTTCAAAACCAAAGGATCATTTGATACAACTTGGCATTTTGCCCCACATCATTTCACTACTTTTTCTTTCCTCACACAAAGGATTCTCATTACTTTACCCCAAGTCATGTGTGGCATTTTTTTCTTTTTTTTTTATTTTTGAGACCTTTTGTGATTTTTTCAAAAATTGCCCCCCAGTGTAGAGGGTGATCCTTGGTTGGGATTCTTCGAAAAATAAATCATAATAGGCTCAAAGGGGTAGCAATAAATGGTTTTTCGAATGGTAAAAGAAAGATGGCCATTTTTCATCTCAATTGTGAATACTTTTTTTGAACATCATCTATTGAACAAAGCTCATGATCCTGTATAAAAGATTACATATCTTCAAGACATATCTCTTTCACCTCTGGTAATGGCTTATCCTTTTTTTTTTTTGCTCAAATCATCTCCTCATAATAATATGGATGAGTTCTTAAAATTAAATCTCAGAATTATTGTTATCATTGTCTAAATATTCATCATCTAAAATTTGAGAATGGGAGTATAAAGTTATGAAAGGTAACAAAACAGGGAGTAATGGTCAAGTGAAAAAGAAAAATGTAATGAAATGCATTAACTTGCCTTTATTAAGATGATAACAAGTGAAGTCATATTGCAAAAAAAAAATCTAACATTACTCGAAAAGAAATCTTAAAATGACAAAAAAACCTTCAACCAACCTTATTTTCATTCTTAAAAATTATCCCCCTATGCGATCAGGTGAAGAATCTCTATTGACATCTTGCCTCTCAATTCATTGTGACTCTTCGAACCCTTTTTGTTCTTAACTTTCACTCAAAACGCTAACATTAGGTGTTGTTGCTTTCCCTTGATCAAAATTTACCATTCCATCATTGATCAACCGTTGCACCTTATGCTTTAAAACAGTACAATTTTTAGTAGAATGGCCAGTAATTCTATAGTGGTAGTCGTAGTGGGCTGTAGGATCATACCACTTTGGATAGGGTTGATTTAAGCGACTCCACATGGCTGGGGGCAATCAAATGGCTATTATAGAGTTCTCGATATAACTCTGTATAAGTTATAGGGATTGGATCAAATACAAGTTTTTCTCGAGTAGTCCGTTGTTCTCGTGAACCACTTGCTGGGTTAATAGGACGAATTTGAGTTCTTGCAGGAGCTTGAATGTTAAGGCTATATGTAAGATCTTGAGGGCTAAAAATTGATCGGTATGTGAATGAATAAGGTGGTTGTGGAGCTAGCTGGTATGGGTAGGATGAGGCATTATTCACAGCAGGATAGTATGGAGAGTAACCTTGGGATGAATAGGGTTGATAACCCCTGAATTGTTGTTTATCAAAGCTCACAGCTTGAGCTTCAACTTCTTTCTTTTCTGATGCCTTCTTGGTTTCTCTCCTTTCAACTTGCCATTTTTATGGCACTTTCAATAATTTCTCTAGAGATTACCATGTCAGCAAAATTCTTTGTTGCATTTCCTATCATCTTTTCATAATAGAGAGACTTCAAAGTGCTGACAAATAACACTGTAGTTTCTTTCTCAGTTAAAGGAGATTGTACTTGAGAAGTAACATCCCTCCACCTCTGGGTATACTTTTTAAAAGACTCGTTTACCTTTTTCTTCAGATTCTATAAAGACAAACGATCAGGGGTCAAATCGATAATATGTCGATACTGACCGATGAAGTCATGTGCCATATCGCTCCAAGAGCGAATGCGGGTTCTGTCCAGCTAAACATACCACCTGGCCGCTGAGCCTATAAGGCTATCCTGAAAGACATGCATCAAGAGTTTTTCATCATGAGCATGAGCTGCCATCTTTCGATAATACATTGTGATGTGAGTTTTAGGGCACTTTGTACCATCATATTTTTTAAATTTTGGTACTTTAAACTTATGGAGAATAACCACATCTGGGACTAGGCAGAGCCCAACAGCATCAACTGACCCATAAAAGCTAAATCCTTCCACAGCCCGTAACCTTTACTTTAGCATACTAATCTTGAAGCTTTCCTGAACTTTCACTTTTATCTTTTCTTTCTCCTTCTCTTTTAAATCATTTAGATCAAGAATTGGTTCTGCTGTTTTTTTAGTGAAGACAAGATTTACATAGCTATTATACTGTCATGGGTTGAAAGCTGATGGCATTCCAAGATATGTTGGATATGTGAAGTGTTGTGGCGAGACCTCTTGAGCAGACTGGGCTTGAGGTGGGCCAAAGCCTGGAGGTTATAAAGGGTCAGCCACTTCTTGCAGTGGGGAAACTTGTTGGCTTGTATCTTCTTCAACTATTTTTCCTTTATTCAGTCTATTAAGAGCATCCAGAATCTTACTTAACTCACTTTCAATCTTTTCCTGTGCTTTTTCTATCTTTTCAAATCTGTGAGAATTTTTTTACTCCATTCGTCTAGCTTTGGATCTTGTGTTGTATCAATGGGCATGGTTTTTACTAGATGGAGCTATCCTTGAACCTTTAGCACCATAATAATGATTAAAAATGTTATGCTATGCTTTATGTATGATGCTTTGATGCATGAATGAAATGTATATTTTTCTGAATGAAATCTAAATGGATGCAAATGATTGTGTTAAAACATGATCATGAAAGTAATGCAGATACATACAATCAGACAAATAACATAGTTAGTTCCATGGATGAAATGAAAGTGATGCTGATGCATAATGTTACATATGATAATGAAAATGATGCATAAAGTTAAACAATCAAAATGATTAGATAAACACTCTTTTTGTGTCCTAATTTTAAGGTATATCTATCATTGGGTAGAAAGGGCTCTATCTTAGGGTTAGACACTTCTAAGGTTCACTATATGCGATTTTAAGGTCAAAGTCTAAAAGTCCTCAAATTGCTCCTTACATCCTTGTCCATCACAGACTAGTAAGGCACCTTAATCCTCACCCATTACAGGCTACAAGTGGAAAATGTTCAATTTGAGCGGGAGTATTTCGCTAGCCACTGCGGAGGCATTAGACCTCACGAAAGCAATAGGTACTTTACTCCCTCCTAGAGGAATGGAGCCGGGTGTAGAGCTCATGTTATGCACATTCATATGAATGACATAATTAACAAAGCAAATAAACATGAATGAATAATAACACATATATACAAAAAGGTTCAAATTTATTAGGCTTTTGGATAATACAGATTATTTGTTGGCCTGACTCTCAAAGTCTCCAGCGGAGTCACCAAGCTGTCATAACGTCTAGATCCGGAGATCTATCGCTAGACATTGACTTTTAGGGAGTCGCCACCAATCTTTTTTATCTAGGTGCGATTGGCCATCTAAAGAATCTGTCCTTTCAGATAACACCTAAGTTCAAGGGTCCCTAAAAGAATAGGTTCAGGTCTTCTAACCAGAACAGGGTTCGAGAGTTCGGTTACATGTGAGGAAGGTTATAGCACCCTCATAACGCCCATCAAAAGATGGTACCAGCTTAAATTTGTGTTATCCAATGAGCCTTAAAATTTTATCGAGTAATTAATTATTAAAAATTATTATCAATTGACTCTAATACTTTTAGCAAAAAATTAAGAAAATTCTCTCACCTCAAGAGCATGCAAGAAAAACTACTGTTTCACTTGCAGAGGCTCCGTCGTCGGATTATTTAACATAAAAAAAATAAAAAGGAATAAAAAATGATTATTTTTTTTGTGCAGGGAAAATTGATACTTTCAACTTTTTCTCAAAAATTTATTTTTTGAGAAAATTTATTAAGAAAAATTGATACTTTCAACTTTTCCTCAAAAGTTGATTTTTTTGAAAATTTATTTTTAAGGAAAATTGATATTTTTAACTTTTCTTCAAAAATATTTTTTTGGAAACCTTGATTTTCAAGGAAAATTGATACTTTCAACTTTTCCTCAAAAACCCTTTTTTGAAAATTTATTTTTAAGGAAAATTAATACTTTCAACTTTTTCCCAAAAATATTCTTTGAAAACTTTAATTTTCAAGGAAAATTGATATTTTTAACTTTTCCTCAAAAAACTTTTTTTTTTGAAAATTTATTTTTAAGAAAATTGATATTTTCAACTTTTCCCCAAAAATATATTTTTTTATTTTTATTTAAAGAAAATAGAATAATAAAACAAAATAAAAGTGAAAATAAATAAAAATAAAAAATAAAATAAAATAAAGAAAAGTAAAACAAAAATAAAAATAAAATAAAGATAAAAAGAATATTAAATAAACCTAATCTAATAAATAAAAAAATAAATAAAAAAACAAATAAACAAATAAATAAATTCAAAAAAAAAAAATCGGAGCGGCTCGGAGTACGGCTCGGCTCGGCTCAGCTCAAGGAAGGAAAAACGGCTCGGAGAAGCGGCTTGGGACCTCGGCTCGGCTCGGAGGGGGAGACACGCACGGGTCAGGAAGCGGGTCGACGCTCGGGTCGGATCTCGACAAAACGCGTGGATCCTCTAGGTCATTTAAGGTAAAAATGACATCGTTTTGGGAGGGTATATAAGATTCTTCCCTCTGTTTTTCAGCAAAAACCTTCTCCCCTCTCTCTCTCTTCTTCCTTTTTCCTCTCGCTTCTCTCTAAAAGGCCGAAGAACTCCGATTGAATGTTCACCGGATTCTAGATTTTTTTGCCGAAATCTGGGTTTTTCGCCGAAAACTGGGCAGCTCGTCGAAAACTTCAAAGTTGGCCGGAATCGTCGCCGAAAAATTTAAATTTCGTCAGAAAAATCACCGGAATCTGAAAATTTTTCATAAATTTCCAGAAAAATTTTCGCCAAAAATCTCTAAAAAATTATTTTCGATTCCCACAGCTATTCTAACACTTCTCAACCTTCTTTTAGCCTTCAAAAACTCTTCTATACGTCCCTTTTCTCTCAAATCAGTAGCTTTTTGCTCACTATTTTTTTGTGTCTTCTGTTCTGTTCCAGAAGGTCCCTTTTATAGGGATTGATCAGAAGAATTTTTGATCAATCCAAATTCCTCTTTGGATCGGGATTCAATCATTGAATCCAACATGGACTCTTCTGATTGAATCCCAATTCAATTTTCAGTCAGATAAATAAAAAAAAAAAAATCAAACGAAAATAAATCAGATAAATCAAAAAAATTAACAGATAAATTAAGATTAAATAACAGATAATTACATAAATATTAACAGGAAAAAAAAGAAGAGAAAAAAATAATAAAGATATATACATATTAATAAATACATAAATTACCTAAGATAAAAAATAATAATAAAAGAAAAAAATATATACATATATAAAATAATAATAATAAAAATAAAATAAAATAAAATGTAAAATACAAAAAATAAAATAAAAATAAAAATAAAATGAAGAAAAAAAAATATAGACTTACCCATTTGGACCAGACCCAATTGATTTGAGCCTGGACCAAATTGGGTGTCTACATCTCACTGCCTTTTTTTTAACCACTTATCAACCACCAATTCCCAGTTTCTTGGTCCTGTATTCAATAGTTAACAGAATGTTTTGAAAAGTTTCCTTCAATCTGACTGGAGAAAGAAAATAATGCATTACCTGAAAGCTTCCTTGAATTCTACAAGCATTACCAAGGAATATTGACCGATCTATTTGTAGATATCCTGGACACAATGCGTTGTAACAACCAGTTGCTTGAAAGTTATCAACCTGATTATTTACAATCAAATTCACCAATTAGATTAAGAATAGTGGGATCGATAGGAAAGAGGAAAAAATGTTGTGAAACAACGAGTACTGCTCGATTCTTCTTACTGTCCAGAAGGTAGTAAGTCGTGTGTGATTATCACCATACAAGGTTGGATTTACCTATTATTCACATCAAGACTGTAAGTAACCAATACTTTGTACAAAGAAATCCTGCTTGTCGTAGCTGAATATATAGTCAGTAGACGAATTTGTATGACTTACCGCCCAGCCAACTTCAATACTGTTTAAATCAGAATGCAGGCCATGTTGCACCCAAATATTAGCCTTTGTATACTCATAATCTTCAGCTGGAGGATTCTGTAAATTGATTTTTGCTGCCGCTCCATGATAGCTCTCCAGGGATGTTGATCGAATTATTGCAAATTTGCAAGCCAAAACCAAGATTAGAAATTTTACTTATGGACATGTTATGATCAAGATTGCATTGATTTGTTAAAGATTCTGAAATAAGAGAACAAATCGTTTACTCACATGTTGTCCGTTGATTCCATTCTTTATGTCTTTAATGGGACGAAGGGAAGGATTAGAATGAAGAGGAACCATGCCCTCAGGTCAACTTTCACTACGTCCTGTTCTTGATGATAGAAAGCTTGGCACCCTCTGATAACATGAAATTAAATATGTATCAATTTCGACGAACGAAGAATTGAATAATCTGTTTGAAGTTATTCAGAAAAAACAATAACAACAAAATCAGGTACCTGTAGGTTGTGCTTTTTAAGGCTTGGATGACTTAAACCAGGTTGTTGGTCGATATTCACACATCTAAAGGAATCAGGGCCTTTTGCTGGTTGCACATTTGAACAAAATAGCATTGAGTGAATGAAGATTACTAACAGAGACAAAGCCTTGACTGTCCCAATTCTAGATTTCTTTTAGTTTTTGTTATGGTAAGTGACGCCCTTGTTTTGCAACTAGTTCGATTTTGTTGATGAACTTTATGTTATGATTACAAATAGTTGACAGCTTTGCATATTTAATCAAGTATATCTATTTAAGGCATGCATGTTATTACAAGTTTTATTTATGGTTAATTGTTGTCATTTTTTATTTTCTTTTGATAGAAGGGAAGATTGTATTTTTTTTTTTACAAAAAAAAATCACATAATTTGAGTAGAAAATTGATTACAAGTGCAAAAATTTAAATCATATTCCTATTTGATGTCATCTCTTAAAGATAATTTCATAAACCAATTAAATGAAACTATAGAGGTCAAAAAGATTGTATTTTCAATTTGGTGAAATATATATATAGAGTTCTTACCCTGAGCCAAAACTGTCTCTCCTTGCATTTGTAAAGAAAGTATTAGTGTCTCTCCAGGCTGCAAATTGCTTGGAAAACACACCCACAATAGTCATTTCTTGTGTAAACATTTTTGCTTTTATAATTGTAAACAATTTTATTTGTTTTTTATAGAACTTAAATTTAATGCATTGTGTATAGATACTACATAGAATAAGATCTCGTTAAAAATGAATTTAAATGTATTTTTAGAGTTAAGTGTATTTATTTTTGAATATTTTGAAATTTTAAAATTAAATATTTTTAAATGTTGTCATTATATAATTCATTAACAATATATAATATTCATACATTGTTATTGTATTAAATATAAAATTTTTTTTTAACTGTTTGGCTTAATGATCAAGATATCAATGTCGGGGTTCGAATCTCAATTTCTCTCTTCCCTTTTAATGTAAGGTTTTGCCTTCCTTAAATGATAAAAAAAATATATATATATATATAAATTTTTATATATGCATTAATATCAGACACAAGGAGATAAATTTTTGCATGTACAAAAGTACAAAGTTCCCCAATTCCCAACAATTTGAACCCAAATTAAATCTTCAACTTGAAAAAATTTAAAATCAAATAATTGAGCTGTCCATGAGGACATTTGCATATTTTATACCAAGCTTATTCATTGCAATATGAATTAGTACATATAACAGAGGTTATTATTTCAGAGTTGCGGCCGATCTCCTAATTCCTTTGCTGTGGAGGCAATTGTTTACATTTCTCAGCTGTTCCACCTGGTCCCCCAAACTTCATGGCTTCTTTCATGGTACCTCCAGCAGTAAAATACATCAAACCATAACAAACAGAATCCAAAACCTTATTCATATTACTATGCTCAGCATCAATCAAGTTGTAGCTCTCATTCACATATCGAATCCTTGTAAAAAAGCCAAATACCCAGCCCATCTCCCCTGGATAGTTCCCGCTTCCCATTGGCGGCCTATCTAGTTGCTGCAAGTAAGTACTTGTTGTCCCACCATATTTGACAACATCTGCTCCCAGAGCTAAATAAGTGAAAATCTCCTTTGGCCAATACCCCACAGGCGTGATTATAAAGTCCATTTGAGTCACCAACCACCAGTTACCTGTTACATCATCCTACACCAGAAAGAAAGACCATTGATTCAATTTAAGTAAGAAGCATACCGGTTTCAAAGAATCTGTCAAAAAGGTAAAAAGGGCGAATCTTGGTGCACAAGACTCCCCGCTTTGGGAGATTGGGAAGAGGTTTCATGGCATGCAGCCTTTCCTCTGCATTTTTTGTAAAGACTGTTTTCAAGACTTGAACCTGTAACCTACCAATCACAAAGGAGCAACCTTATCATTGCTCCAAGGCTGTCGTCTAAGGAATCTGTCACAAAAGTTAAAAAAAATGTAATGATGTTGGATTGGAATATCTTAATAAATATTTTAATATTACCTGCAAAATTGCAATTTGTTCAATCAACATTGGGTGATCAGGATCAATCAGATAAGCTTGGCCGAGGAATAAAGAAGAATCAATTTGCACAAAACCTGGGCACAATAAATTGTAACAACCGGTTGTTTGAAAATCATCTGCCTGTTAATTTACAACTTGGTTTCATTAGATTAAGGTTATTGTGATCAGATTATTACAAATAATTAGAAAAAGAGGAGAAAAGGATTATTCAGTTCTTACAGTCCAATATGCTGTAAGTCGTGTATGATTGTCACCATATAAATATGGATGAACCTGTACATGATTAATGTTAAAGATATTATTCCTTAAAGTTCACCATCTAATAAAACTAAAACTTGGAAATGAAATTTAGTCTATTTCTGAAGCAAAGAAAAATTAATTAGTACGAGTTCTTTGATAAAAGAGGTTGCTTTTATTTGAACCATCTGAGTTAAGTTATGAATTCATTACATTTATTCTATTCTGTTGCGTGCAAGAGAGAGAGGCTTACCGCCCAGCCAACTTCAATACTGTTTGAAACAGATTTAGGACCATTTTGCACCCAAATATTAGCCCTACTGGATTGCATCATTTCCACTACTGGATTAAATACTCCCATATTTGCTGCACCTCCTCTATAAGTCCTCTCGCCCGGATATGTCGAAATTGTTGCAAACTATAAAAAAACGTTTAGCGTCAGTAGGTAAAGAACCGGAGACAATTTGATCAAAATCTAACAATTAATGTTTAGAAATTGAAGTTCAAAACCAAGAACTCACATATTTTACTCCACTGTTTATGTCATGAAGTGGCCGAATTGAAGGGTTAGCATGAATGGGTACTTTTCCATTCGGGCAGCCATTTTCGTTGTTGATATCTGATCTTGAAAATGTAGCTCCAGGAAATTGTGGTATATTTGGCCTAGTCTAATAACATTAAATCAAACGTGTCAGTTCGATCGAAGCTCTTCAAGCATTATTACCAACAATAGTATAAACAAGGCAAGAAGCAGGTACCTGAAGTTTGTGATGTTTGAGTTTGGGATGACTGAAAGCAGGTTGTTGGTATGTATTCACACATTTGAAGGAATCGATGCCCTTTTGCTTTGCTTGTGAATAAAATGGTAACAAATGAATGAAAATTACTAGTAACAAGCACAGGGCCATAACAAGGAAATGAAAATGGTTATTGACAATCCTGTTCTTGAACTTAGTCAATGTGGATAGACTTTACTTGGAAGAGTATGTAGTATTTGATAAAGAAGAAAATGATCGGAAACTTTTATTGTGACAATCCTGTTCTCGAACTCAGTCAATGTGGATAAACTTTGCTTGAAAAAGTATGTAGTATTTGATAAAGAAGAAAATGATCGAAAACTTTTATTGTAATAACTTATATTGTATAATGAGGTTGTAAAATGTTACAAAATAGTAAATATAATAAATAGAAATAATGACTAAATTAATTTTTATAATTAGCCAAATTAATATCAAATTAATCTAAAATATTACTAAAATTACTAAAACAATATTATTGAAATCAATCTTGAATATTATCATAGATGGTAATATAGAAGCCAACTTGAGTTTGGAAACTTGGACAAGAAATTGACCAAGCATATGTGTTTTGGTGAAGATATATGCTTTTTATCAGCAATGGTAACAAGAACAAGTAGAAGAGTTTGTGCGAGCAGATGATAACAAATAAAGTGACAATCAATTTAATATGTTTAGTATGCTCATGAAAAATATCATTGTGAGCCATCTGAATGGCACATTGATTATCACAAAATATAAGAGTACTAGAGTGATGAGAAACACCTATATCATGAAGTAATCATCATAATCATTGTAAACACTCAATTGGGTCCAGGCCCAGATCAATTGGGTATGGCCCAAATGGGTAAGGCCCAATTCAATTTTTATCCTGTATTATTATTATTATTTTTTTGTATTTTATGTATTTTATTATTTATTATTATTATTATTATGTATTAATATATGTATATCTTTATTTATTTATTTATTTACTTTTTTGTTAATATTTATATGTATTTTATTCATATAGTTATATATTTATTATTATATTATTATTATTATTATTTTTTGTAATATATTTTTGGGTTTATCTTATTTTATTTTTTATTATTTTTTAAAATTATCTGTTAATTTTATCTGATTTTTTTTTTCGACTATCTTATTAGTATTATTATATTTTGTTTTCTTTTTTTGATGGTTGTGATTGAAAGTTGAAGAATTCCATTGTGAATGAGAATTCAATCAGAAGAGTCCAGATTTGATTCAAAGATTGAATTCCCATCCAAGGAGGAATTGGGATTGATCAGGAACTCCTGATCAATCCCTATAAAAGGGACCTCTGGAACAGAATGAAGAGACAGAGAAAATAGTAAGCAAAAGCTACTGATTTAAGGGAAAAGAGGCGTATAGAAGGCTAAGAAAAGGTGTAGAAGGGTTTTTAGAATTAGAAAAAAAAATTTGAAGATTTTTGACATTTTTTTTTCTGGGAATTTCTGGAAAATTTCAGATTCCAGTGATTTTTCCGGCGAAGTTTGAATTTTTCGACGAAAATTTTGGCCAACCTTGAAGTTTCCGACGACCTGCCCAGTTTCCGGTAAAAAATCCCAGAAACCGATGATCTTCCGGTGAACTTTCGATGAACTTCCGACGAAAAAACTCAGATTTCGACGACAAAACCCAGAATTCGATGAATTTTCAATCGGAGTTCTTCAGTTTTTTAGAGAGAAGGGAGAGGAAAAAGGAAGAATAGAGAGAGAAGAGGAGCGTTCTGCCAAAAAACAGAGGGAAGTGCCTTTTATACCCTCTCAAAATGACGTCGTTTTGGCCTTAAGTGACCTAGAGGATCCATGCGTTTTGACGTGACCCGACCCGACCCGAGCGTCGACCCGCTTCCTGACCCGCGCGTGCCTACCTCCCTCCAAGCAGAGTCTAACCGAGCCGAGCTCTAAGTCGTCCCCCCTGAGCCGTTTCTCTTCCTTGAGTCGAGCCGAGCCAAGCCGATAGCCGAGTCGCTCCAGGTTTTTTTTTCTTTTTTTTTTTCAAAATTTCTTTATTTATTTATTTTATTTATTAGATCAGATTTATTTAATCTTTTTTATCTTTATCTTATTTTTATTTTTGTTTTACTTTTCTTTATTTTTTTTATTTTCACTTTTATTCTGTTCTATTTTCTTTAAATAAAAAAATCAAAAAAATATTTTTGGAGAAAAGTTGAAAGTATCAATTTTCCTTAAAAATAAATTTTCAAAAAAAAAAGATTTTTAAGGAAAAGTTGAAAGTATCAATTTTCCTTAAAAATAAATTTTAAAAAAAAGATTTTTGAGGAAAAGTTGAAAGTATCAATTTTTCTTGAAAATCAAAGTTTTTCAAAAAAATATTTTTGGGAAAAGTTGAAAGTATCAATTTTCCTTAAAAATAAATTTTCAAAAAAATATTTTTGGGAAAAGTTGAAAGTATCAATTTTCCTTAAAAAATAAATTTCAAAAAATATTTTTGGGGAAAAGTCAAAAGTATCAATTTTTCCTACACAAGAACAATCATTCTTTCTTTCCTTTCTATTTTGATTTTGATTTTGATTTTTCTTCAAATAATTCGACGATGGAGCCTTTGCAAGTGAAACAGTAGTTTTTCTTGCATACTCTTGAGGTGAGGGAATTTTCTCAATTTTTTGCTAAAAATATTAGAGTCAATTGAGAATAATTTTCAATAATTAATTACTTGGTAAAATTTTAAAGCTTACTGGATAACATAAATTTAAGTCGGTACCATCATTTGATGGGCGTTGTGAGGGTGCTATAACCTTTCTCACACGTAACCGAACTCTCAAACCCTGTTCTGGTTAGTAGACCTGAACCTATTCTTTTAGAGACCCTTAAACTTAAGTGTTCCCTGAAAGGACAGATTCCTAAGGTGGCCAATCGCACCTAGATAAAAAAGATTGGTGGCGACTCCCTAAAAGTCAATGTCTAGCGATAAATCCCCAGATCTAGACGTTATGACAGCTTGGCGACTCCACTGGGGACTTTGAGAGTCAGGTCAGCAAATAATTTGTGTTATCCAAAAGCCTAATAAAATTGAACCTTGTTGTATATATGTGTAATTATTCATTCATGTTTATTTACCTTGTTAATTATGTCATTCATATGCATGTGCATAACATGAGCTCTATATCCGAGCTCCGACCCTCTAAGAGGGAGTAAAGTACCTATTGCTTTCGTGAGGTCTAATGCCTCCGCAGTGGCTAGCGAAATACTCCCACTCAAATTGAACCTTTTCCGCTTGTAGCCTATAATGGGTGAGGATTAGGGTCCTTACTAGTCTGTGATGGACAAGGATGTAAGGAACAATTTGAGGACCTTTAGACTTTGACCTTAAAATCGCATATAGTGAACCTTAAGAGTGCCTAAGCCTAGGATAGAGCCCTTTCTACCCAATGATAGATATACCCTGAAATTAGAACACAAAAAGGGTGTTTATCTAATCATTTTGATTGTCTAACTTTGTGCATCATTTTCATTATCGTATGTAACATTATGCATCAGCATCACTTTTATTTTCATCCATGAAACTAACTATGTTATTTGTCTGATTGTATGCATCTGCATTATTTTCATGATCATGTTTTAACACAATCATTTGCATTCATTTAATACTAGATTTCATTCAGGAAAATGCACATTTCATTCATGTATCAAGGCACAGCATAACATTTTAATCATGAGTATGGTACTTAAGGTTCAAGGATAGCTCTACCAAATAACCTCACTCACCAATACAAGAGCTCAAGCTAGACTAATGGAACAAGAAAATTTCAGTCGTCTCGAGAAAATAAAGAAAGCTAAAAAAAGTTAAAAAGAGAGTTGAATAAGATTTTAGGGGCAAATTGATTTAATATGGTGGTCTAAATTTTGAGTCGAATGTTACTCATCGACAGCGAGTGAAGAGAGCGTATTTTCAAGAAGTGAATTTCAATTATCTATCTTACAATTGAACAGAACATCGATCATATTCCAGTAGCTACAGCTGAAGATGTGAAGCTTGCGATGGCTGCTACTGAGAGAGCTCTTTCTAAAAACAAAAGCAAAGATTAGGCTTCAGCTTCTGACGCTGTTCATGCCAAGTATTTACGGGCCATCGTTTCCAAAATAACAATGAGAAAATTTGAATTAGCAAAGCTTGGGCAATTGATTACGAGAAACCACTTGATGAAGCAACTTGGGACATCGATGATGTTGCTGGATGTTTTGAATACTAAATGTACCTTGCTGAAGGTTTAGATGCGAAGTAAAAGATTGTGCTGCAATATTGAAACCTTTCGAGCTGGTATCTATCACCTGTTTGGAGCTGGCTGACGTGTGAAAGAAGGTGGGTTTTCCTTTAGGTATCTTAAACATTCTGACTGGATCGAGCCTGAAAGTTATGATTTTTTTGGCATCTCATCTCAATGTTGACAAGATTGCCTTTACCAGAAGCACTACAATAGGGAGCATGATAATGAAAGCAGTCACTCAAATAGTCAAGCTTGTATATTTAGAACTCGACAGGAAAAGCCCAATCATTTTATTTGAGGATCAAGAATATGAAGAGTCTCAATGAATCAATGGGGTGAGATAAAAATTCTTCACCTGATTGCTCAAGGGCATGATTTTAAAGAGGATGTTAAAACTGGTTGAATGCCACTTATCATTCTAAGAGTTCTTTTAAAGTAATGTTAGGATTTTTTTTCTGCAATATGATTTCACTTGTTATCATTTTAATAAGGGTAAGTCAATGCATTTCATTACATTTTCTCTTTCACTCGACCATTATTCCATGCCCTGTTACCTTTCATAACTTCACATTCCCATTCTCAAATTTCAGATGATGAATATTTAGATAATGATAACAATAATTCTGAGATTTAATTTTGAGAACTCATCCACATTAATATGAGGAGGTGATTTGAGCAAAAAAAAAAGTAAAAAAAAGGTAAGCCATTACCAGAGGTGAAACAGATATATCTTGAAGATATCTTTTATACAGGATATTGAGCTTTGTTCAATAGATGATGTTCAAGAAAAGTATTCACAATTGAGATGAAAAATGGTCATCTTTCTTTTACCATTCAAAAAACCATTTATTGCTATCCCTTTGAGCCTATTATGATTTCTTTTTCGAAGGAACCCC